GCGCCCGGGGACATATGTAACCCTCCCCCTCGCTACGCCGTTTTGCTCGCACCCGGAAAACTAAATATTTTAACTTATATTTTAATACAAAATATTATAACGATTGTCATTACAGTTGCCTATTCTCAATGGCTGACTTCGTAACGTTATAATGAAGAAAACAACAAACAAACAAAAATAATTAAACACGTATGATCCATGTCTAAAACGGTCGTGTGAAAAACTGTGAGGAAGAAAAAGATACATTTTAAGCAAATACCTATGTAACCAGCTGCTAAAACAATGGACATATAGCATGATAAGGGAGAGTACCCAGAAAAAGTGAAAAAAAAATACTTTAAGTTCACAGTAAAATTAAATCGAAACACACTACAGAAATAGAAAATTGACATTTACAAATACAACAATAATATAAACGTTGATACATATATTTTCCAAATTTTATTACTAAAATTAATAACATTTGACGTTAATATAAATTATAACCCAATACTCAGTATAAACTGCTAGTTTTATAAGAAATCTTCTATCCTTTGAATACCCCTCCTGATAATCACTCAATTGATTCATATTATTTTTAGAAAAAAGTTTCCATTGTCATGGGTGGCTACAACGTGAACTATTGACCTCGCAGCTGAGGATGAAGCACAGTAAACTCAGCAGTCAAAGAGAAACAGAGTTACACACCTTATATGAGTCTAGTTCTTATGCAATGTTATTTCCTCCATTTAATTAATATATATACAATTGATGTTCATGTCTTTGAAGCTGTGTAAAACCATCAAATAAATTATTATTATTACTATTTAAATGTTTAAAACAAATAAATTTTTTAAAAATGTGGGAAGACTGCTAAAGATATAGATGTTTGAAAGGGAATAATGTTTGATTGGATGTGTCTCAATATAATAACAAAACGTTTCAGGTTTCTTAAATTGGTATCATTTTAATTCTTTGTAATCCCACATTTATTTCTGCTCTACCCCCCCCCCCTCACCCCACCACGACGATGGAAAAAAAATAATCCTGGAATCATCATTTAATTACATATTTGCATTTTCAGGTTGTTGTTTTTTTTTTGTGTGTAAATAAAATTGTAATTAGACGTTTTGTATTAGATCCATGTATAAGTAAACCATCTTAAATGAATGAAAGTAGGCTACAAGAAGAAAGAAGTATTACTATTGCAAATCTGTATCAGTCCTTACAAGCCGATGATAAAAACTGTAATACTAAAGCGAACATGGCAAGGCAAAATGACGCTGTGAATTACATGATGAAAAAAATGCTATACAAAATGCGCTGTAAAATATGTTGTAATTTATTAAAAATAAAAGTATTTAAAAACAAATGCTAAAAAAAAAAAAGAGAAGAAATAAATAAATTAGGCGGCACTGCTAAAACGAAAATTGGTTCTGTAAAGTTTAAAGAAGTATTAAACAAGATGAATGTATATCAAGATGTGATTTCATATCTGTTCTTTGTAGAAAACAGATTTACAATATGATACACACATTTTTAAAAAAATAATTAATGTAAGTACAAAAATAAACAGTCGATGTTGTCCAGAAGAAGAAATGTAGACGCCACTAGAAAAGATAACAACCACACTTATTTGCACAACTCACAACAGCAATGTCTATATAAAAAAATCATAGTGAACCGATTGTTATTGTTGACTTGAAGTTAAAAATAAACGTTTGTTTTGTCCTTACGATCGCACTGAATTGGACGTTATAACAAAACATTAATTTAGGTCATAGCAGTTGCAAAGGGCTAGAAACAATTTTGTTTCGAGGCTACTTTAATGTAGGACTGAAATAATTATGTTCACATCGCCTTTAAAATAACAGACTTAACTTTTTTATTATGACCTTATAAAAGCCTCGCGTGAAGAGAAAGTCAGTTTGATCTAAGGACAATCTACGGTCTCAGAACTGAATAACGAAATTACGACCTTTGTTTATAGTCGACTAGCTGCTGAGCGCTTGACTGCTAAATCCAAGTTCAAGTCAGTGTAATGTCACTGAGTCCACCCAGTTTTGATGGGTACCTAACGAGAAAGTAAAGGCGGATGAGCAAAGTGACCACATTCCTTCATATCAATTCCTAGAAAGTTATGAACTCTACTTTATCTGCCAATGCATCCATAAGCTTAAAGAGGTCTCTTTACTTTATTACTTTAATTATTTTCTAATTGACTGTATCTATCTCATGGTCGGCAATTAAACACGTGAATTTGATGTGAGTTGCACTATTACCAATAACCATTTATAAACAGAGTTTCTTCCAGAGTTTCTATCGCCTACCATGAACGAAATGTAATTTATATAGAAAACATACACTTTTACCAGTGTTCGTCTCGCCCCCCCCCCCCCCCACTCCCCCACCCCGGAAAGAAAATTTAGTACGACCCTCCGAAAATATCAAGTGCCCCCCCCCCCCCCCCTCTAAGAAGAGGAAATACTGCAGCTGTTCAGCCATTAAGCTTGTGATAATGAGTCATTATGCTCGCCGATGACAATTCTATCTAGATTCTACAGTTGTTTAAAACACTAACCAATAATGTGGAGCGAGTGTTTCTTTCAGGCATCTGGAAAAAATTGAATTTATGTAGAAAATATATCGGCTAGTTTTACAACCCCCCCCCCCCATCCCAGGAGATTAATGTCTGAAAGAAACACTGCAAGCCTTTGAATTCTAGATCAAAGAAATACAGAGTTTCTTCTAGGAATCTCTTCGGGGTGGGGCGGACTATCGAACGAAATGGAATTTATATAAAAATATATACGTTTACCAGAATGGCATTTCCCCCCCCCCCCCCTCGTAAATTTTAGTCCGCTCCCATTAAATTTCAAGAGTCTCTTCCCTCCTCTACCCCCCCCCCCCCCTCCTCCGGAGAAGAAGTGAAAGAAACACTGTTTATAACTCTTTTGTGGGTGGTTAATGTATGGGAGTGGCTTTTATCCTTGTACAGGAATCCAAACAAGTCCATAATGTCGAGTCATACACATGTGTTTCATTCTTCGGACGATTGTTAATCAGTCTTGGCTTCAGCACAGGAAAGATCATAGGAAAACTTGAACGTCTCTTTTTTTTACTCCTAGATATCTTCTATTTCTGGAAATCCCCCTGGGAAGAGGAAACTAGGTCAAGGCAACTCTGAAGGAGGAGTAAAAGACAAGACAAGGACTGTCGGGCGTACGTGGGCATAAATAAAGAGAGCCGCTAAAAACCGAGTCCGATGGAGAGGTGTAACTGCAGCTAGAGTTTCTTTCAGGCATCTCTTCGGGGGGGGGGGGGGTGGGGGCGGGGGGATTTATATAGTAATATAGAAAACATTTACTTTTACTAGTGTCCGCCACCACCCCCCTCCTGAAAATGTAGACCGCCACCCCCCCCCCCCCGAAAATATCAAGTGCCCCCCCCCCCCCCCTCCCGGAGAAAAAAAGTCTAGAAGAAACTTTTGTTACAGGTCAGTTGTAGGTTAGATAGAAATAGGTTAGAATAATCTAGAATTAGGGGAGAGTGCGTTTGTGAGTTGAGTTTACCCTAGAATATTGTTAACCCCGGTGTGTTTATGTATTGTTATCCCAAGGTCGAATGCGGTATAAAAGTTAAAGTGAATGGTTGTCAGGGTTAGTTGGTAGAGGTTCGGGCGAGGGCTCCTCTTTTATGTAAAGAATTGAGTCCAAATAAAAGTATACTATATGTGTCACAAATCGTTGTTGAGTTAAATCGAACCCGGACCTAACAACATTGACTGCAGCCCTTTGCTACTCAGGGGCCACAATAGGATACATCAAGTCATCTTCTGCTGCTGCAGTTCCAACGTAAGAATTATACCAACAATAAAATATAAAAGAACGAAAAAACACACCGGTAAAACAAAGATTGAGAGTCGTGATCCTACAGTTGGAGATCAAATCTGGTTCAGAAGAAGTAATTTAATACAAAGTGTGGCCCAACCCTTATTTAAACTAGTTCACTATTCCACAAGCTTGTATTTACATTGATTTTTTTTTTGCCTCAAACATGTAATTTAAAGCGTCAGTTGTGTGTTCGCTTTAGCATCACAATTTTCATCATCGGCTTGTGAGGACTGATACAGATTTACAATAGTAATATTTCTTTCTTACTTGTAGCCTACTTTCATTCATTTAAGATGGTTTACTTATACATAGATCTAATACAAAACGTCTAAATATAAAAAGATTTTAAAAAATTAAACACACCAACCTGAAAATGCAAATGTGTAATTAAATGATGATTCAAGGGATTCTTTTTTCCCTCGGCGTGTTTACAAATATAAAATACGAGTAGACCCGCGATGTAGCATACGCCGCTATTTAGTTTAATTCCTAATTTTCAGTAATTCATACTTTGTGAATTCGACACTAACAATGCTGTGACTGAAAATAGTTTGCTTTAAAACACTATCAGTAGCTCGTTAAGGACGATTATACTCACCCTAACTCCGCCCCCCCCCCCCCCCCCCCCGCCTCAGTGAAAGCAGTCGTCTGTGACGACAGTTTACAGGCGACAATGAAAAGAGCAAGCAAAACTTGTTATTACCTCCCTTAATTTCAAATCGTTTAAAAACTAAATTATCTGCCGCTAATAGCCGTCACTACGATTGTAAATAGCTCACCAGACTATTGAGCTTACGTCTTGTTGGTGTCTCGCAAGGTACCCTTGGAGAGAATTATATATATATATATATATATATATATATATATATATATATATATATATATATATATATATATATATATATATATATATAACTTATATACAGCTTTCATAACTTCACAGAAATTAACGCAACGGTTTGAGAGCCTATAGTTTTATACATAAAGGACCAGGTGTTCAAATTTACCCGAATATAATGTTATTAAATAAATGTTTGAGTTAGGATCTATTTAAAAAAAATCGAAATTAAAAGAATATATATATATATACACAAGCGAAAAACTAGACTTGTTATTTGACACCAAGGGTGGCCGTGTGTTGACTGCAGCTCTAATAAAACACCCAGTTAAACAGACGACATTGCTGTAGCCTGTGTAGGGCAAGGGAGACTATCTTGTTAGGTTTACGACAAGGGAGACGACTTGATTAACCTGCAGGTATACAAAATGTTCAAAGTTTAAAATAGGTCTTAGTTTGCTCACACTGCAAATAATTAGAAGCTTAAGGTAGAGAAATATATTTAAGTTAGAAAAGCCTTCGTTAGTTATAATATCTTTTCAAATGGATATAGTTTGCAAGTTTCAAGGCTTAAGATAAACCTCAGGTAAACAAACATAAATATGTTTTAATCGATTTTGTGAGTAAGTGTAATCAATATTAACCCTCCACCGACGTTTTTACAGTAAAAAAAAAAGAGGTAATAAATAAAACAGATTGTAAATAAAACATTATAGGGAATTGTTCCCACTATCTTTACTTAAAGTAAAACATTTAAATTTCTCAATTCAAATTAAAGTAGTATTCAGTTTTAAACATTATTTCAAAATCTTGATTTGATAATAAATGCAATAAGGTGAAGGATGTAATAGTCTGAAATTGAATGATGTAGTTGTCTGTTAATGTTGTTAATGTTTTGTCGTCTGCATATATGTAATAAATTGATTTGTCTAGGCTCAAGGTGTAGAAGATTTCATTGACAGAGGTCGTTGTCACGGTACTGTCCCTTGAGATTTTGTTCTATGTCGTTTTTGGTGTATAGGCTTGTAAGGTGGTATACACACTGAAAGACAGCGGTGTCTGGGTGTTTTACTACGTGGTGTTTTATTGTCTGTTTACTTTTAATCAGATTGTTACAGTGCAGGCATTTACTCATGTCAGCATGGAAAGCTTTTATTTGAGTTTTGCACTGGCTGGCAGTATTGAAGCTGTGAAAGCTGTATCCACAGCTCTTGTCTTTTCCAGGAGTTGAAGGTTTAAAGACTTGAATTGATGCGATGGTAGTTTCTTGTTGCTGCTGGGTTTCTTTAGTTTTTGGTCGAATTGTTGCAGTTGTTTCTAATGTTGTTTTGGCCGATTTCGTTTTTCGTTCTTGCAGTGTGGCTGGACTGTCTTCGTTCTTCCTTTTGGCTTTTGTTTCTGTTTCCATAGCGGTCTGTGGTTTCTAGTCATTGGTATAAGAGGCGTCTTGCTGTTGTGTGCTGGTGTTTGCTGTCGTTGCTGTTCTGTTGCTAAGTTCGGAGCTTGCTGTTGTGTGCTGGTGTTTGCTGTCGTTGCTGTTCTGTTGCTAAGTTCGGAGCTTGCTGTTGTGTGCTGGTGTTTGCTGTCGTTGCTGTTCTGTTGCTAAGTTCGGAGCTTGCTGTTGAGTACTGGCGTTGGCTGTCGTTGCTGTTCTGTTGCTAAGTTCGGAGCTTGCTGTTGAGTACTGGTGTTTGCTGTCGTTGCTGTTCTGTTGCTAAGTTCGGAGTTTGCTGTTGTGTGCTGGTGTTTGCTGTCGTTGCTGTTCTGTTGCTAAGTTCGGAGTTTGCTGTTGTGTGCTGGTGTTTGCTGTCGTTGCTGTTCTGTTGCTAAGTTCGGAGCTTGCTGTTGAGTACTGGTGTTTGCTGTCGTTGCTGTTCTGTTGCTAAGTTCGGAGCTTGCTGTTGTGTGCTGGTGTTTGCTGTCGTTGCTGTTCTGTTGCTAAGATTGAAGCTTGCTGTGTCAAGCAGTGGCGTGCTTCCATTCCCTGTTGTTGCTTGCGTTGTTAGTTGTGCTGTTGGGATGTTTATCTATTCCCTGTTGTTGCTTGCGTTGTTAGTTGTGCTGTTGGGATGTTTATCTATTCCCTGTTGTTGCTTGCGTTGTTAGTTGTGCTGTTGGTATTACATGTTGAAGTGGGTTGAGGTGTGTTTGGCTGCATTGTTTTGTCCAGTGTTGGGTAGATGAACAGTGTTGACAGGCTTGTTTTCTGCCTGGAATGGCTATTAGGATGTGCCCCGGGTAATATCCAATGATTTTTAAACTCATTTTGGCGGTAAAAAAGTTTTGCGATCGAAAAAAAAGTGTGGTGTCTAGCCTTAAGGTTTCACATGACCGTTAGATCAGATAGGCAAATAACTAATGGACAGGTCTCAAGTTCACCACGGTATATCGTATTGTTACATAAAATTGATGCCAGTCGTGGAAGTTTAGCACAACCCAGTGTTAGATTCACCAGACATATTTAAAAATACAACACCGACATTTACATTGCATGCTGAACGAAAAAAAAACATGGCGACCGGTTGGTAGTTAAAATTTATATTTACATTTTTTAATACTAAATCAAGCGAAATATCGCTTAATCATGAAATCTTATTTTAACAAGTAAGCATTTTAATCTCTTAAGATACTACTTGACGTTAGAATGAAAAAAATCATGCGCTATATATGTTTTTACTTTGTAAATACTATGTAAACTAAGCAAAACATATTTAGTTTGAAAACTGTTTTAGTAATTTCAGTTTATTATAATACTGTTTATTTTGTCAATAAAATATGAATTCTATTTCACCAGTATTGTCTAGTATTTTTTATTTTTTTCTGAGCAATACCTACTGAGTATCATCGTGATGCGTATCCTTCTATGAGCCGCAACAACAAATAAACCATAATACATTATTTATAAGTAACCTATCTCGATCTTTCCCCTTCAGCATCTGTTTCATCGTTACAGCAACATGATCAACATATCAAAGACCGTAATGCTCCTCCTGGCACTAGTGTGCTGGTCAGCCCAGCAGCACGGTGTCAGCGGTCAGTTCCTCTTCAACACACTGACCAACTCCGCCTACTACTACCCCTACCCTTTCCAGTGCCAGACGGCTGTGAACCCGCTACTCACGAAGGACTGTCCGGGTGGCGCTTGCTATCTGTCAACACTTAAAGGTCAATGTTGTATGGCCAGCTTTTTCACTAGTAAGTTTGTGTTTTATTTATTTTTTCATTTTTAAATATTGTGTTTACTTAGATTTTAACAGTATTTCTGTGTTTAAGTGTTAAAATGTTACTAGTAATTCAGTTTTTTTATTTTACTAGACTGGATTTTATTTGATGTAACCAGTAATTCTGTATTTATGTAAGCAGTGCTTTTTTTTGTGACGATACGTACCGGTACGACGTACCGGTACCTTGTTCGATGTGGGGAAAATATTACTTTTCTTGCATTTTAACTTTTATTATTAACTTGTTATATTAAAATTAATAATATAATATAAATAAAAGTTAGGCAATCCATCAATGAGTACTGGCACCTATGTTTTGTACGCACAAAAAAAAAGAACTGTAAGTAAATGTAAGAATAGGTGTTCGATTGTATCCAGCATGTATGTATTTAAATGCTAAGTTTTATGCAAGACTGTTTAATTAGATTTTAACCACTCTGTATAGTTTTATATGTTTAACCTTTTGCAGTAGTAATGTATCTACGTGTTACTTGACATTTTGTATACAATGCAATGCAACATATTATAAATTAATGCACTGCTCGAATACTGCATTCGAATGGGGCACTTGAATCATCTGTGGGGGAGGGGGTATCAAGTGAGGGGGTTATGTAATTTCAGCGCGACGGCCACAGGTAATAAGTATATATGTGTTTACATACGTTAATTTTTTTTTTCATTTCGTCCTTGGGGTGGGGGGGGGGGAGACGTTTATGTTTTCGGGGTGGGTAGGGGGGGGCTCTTCTTCCAACCCCCCCGCCCCCCCCCCCCCCCCACTCATGCATTCCCCGCCTGTAAAAGGCACGGGTCGGAGCAATGTATGTCTCTAGAGGAAGAGTTTGTTTAGATGAATAGTAGTTACAACTTAGGTAACATAATAGCATCAACAGAAATGGGGTATACACACATTCGCAAGATCTTAAGCGAAGACCATACGGGATAAACATCAGATGACCACTTTTTGAAATTTTCAGTTAGTGCAATTTTCGTGTAGTACTAGTGTATATTTAGCAAGTAAACACTATGAAAGCGTAAATCTATAACAATATGAACGCTTAAATCCACCTCAATCCCCTCAATATTTACGATTTTAAAATCAAGTCACAATGGAAAACCAAAGAATCTCAAACATACAATCTCATTTTTCTCGAATGTAGACAACTGTGACAACTTTTGGATTTTAAGATAAAATATAAGAATACTAGTCTACTTATGATTCATCTACAATCGCATGTCCATAAGAATATATGGAACACTTATAATATTTTACTATCACCTTATGACCCCCCTCCCCTGTAACATCTTGTCTACATCCTATAAGTTTTATTCTCCCAGGTTCTAGAGTGTACTACCAACAATGTAAGTGTAGTCTGAGCGTCACATGTCCAGTACTCGTGGGCTAACATGACGTCATGAAACACTCAATCAGCAGCAACTAACAAACGACCCAACAAACAACAGCATAACTACAAAGGAAAATCAAGTTTTGATTGTGTTTTAAACATTACATTGTATGCCGAAGCATCTTTTTTTAAAAATAAATTGCATGGTAATCAATTCTAGTCGTTTATTCATTGTTGTGTCCTAAAAATAAATGCACTATCTGCTACTCGTGTTTAATTTAAAACGCATGAAAATATACAACACAAAAGCGCGCATGTGTTTTGCTAATATTAACTCCTGTGGAACAACTTTGAAATCCGGGAACGAAATAAAACATTTTGTTTAATGTTATTGGCATAGTTAACAACAATTGTCAGTATGTTTGCAAATAACACATAAAAGTTATTTGCAATTAATGCCATAGATAAAAAATCAAATAAAAAATCAATGCTTTACAATCTAATAAACAGTAGATAAACACATACAATTTTTAATTACGAAGTTTCATTTCATTTTTAGTAAAAGAAAAACGTTTATAAAACAAAACAAATCCAAACATATAGACATGCTTTAAAAAAAAATTAGAACATTAATAAAAGAAAATGACAGTAATACTTTAGGCAATTTCTTTAATGATTTCAACACCGGAATTTGTGTCCTGGAATTGAGACAGTGTTTAATTAATAGAAGAATGTTAGCGTCAATCTAAAATGTGTATATTAATGAATGAAGGGAAGCATTAAAAAAAAAACAACTTAAATTCGTGAAATAATAATATCCACTGTGTTTGGTTGTACATCATAACAAGAGATTTATTACACGATTGTATGTTTTTTTTTTACCTGTTTATTCAAGATCTTAAACAAATTATAATTCTCAAGCAGTATGGACTTTCCCACATTTAATATTAGCCCATTCTTTAAAACTAAGCATTTAATATTTTTTCTGATATAAAAAGCAAAATAAGGTAAAGATATAGCTTGTTTTCTGAACATATCCCAACACATTCTCTCTCTATATATACAAATGTGAAATAATTTTACCTCATAATAAACCTACATAAAACAGTGGCGGAACTAGAAAAAAAAGGCCCCCCCGCAGAATTTTTTTTGGGCCCCTATATATATATATATATATATATATATATATATAAATATATATATATATATATATATATATATATATATATATATATATATATATATATATATATATATATATATATATATACATATATATATATATATATATATATATATATATATATATATATATATATAAATATATATATATACATATATATATATACATATATATATATATATATATATATATATATATATATATATATACATATATATATATATATATATATATATATATATATATATATATATATATATATATATATAATATATATATATATATATATATATATATATGGAAAACAAAGGTCGCACTAAATTTTTTTAAAAAAATGTATCCGGTACCCGAATAAATCAGAGGTTTTCCAACACACGAGCTGGCCCCATTCAGTTTTCCATGTGAGAAGCACGGACTCTCTAAATCTAGTCCAACACTCCAAACTGACGCCGGTTTTTATGAGGCTTTCATCAAAACGTTACCAACCGTGTGCCCTGTTTTCCAGAAGTTTAATTAAATGTTAACAATGTCGGCAGTTCATTTCTTGGATCTTAGGGCGCGGGTTTGTCCACACTACCAACTAGACACGCCAAGGCATGCTGTAAGTCCCTCGGCGACGACCCAGGTGTCAGGGGAGTCACGGGGCTCTTGGAGCTACCGGTTACATTACTGCACGGGTTATGGGTGCAACACATTGTTTCTTCCGGCAGAGCTCCCCCTCCCCCACCCCTCCTCCGAAAATAGTCTACCCAGGAAGAAACATTGGTGCGACACCTAATTAGATTTAGTCATCGAGTGTTGTAGCGAGACTTATTCCTAGTGTTGTGGGAACTTTTAAACGACTGTCTGTGGGGGGCCAACTTGCTCATATGTGATGCGCTCAGGATGACACTGCCGCCGGTTGTATTCAAGTAGTAACCTCATCCGTTTATGCAGGATCACGAGGCGCTAAATCACATATTTCCGTTAGGAGTCCCCACTCCAATATGTACAAATGTTAGGCCTATGACAGAAACTTTTGCGGGGCTGTACTCAACAGCTTCCCAAGTTTTCATGGCGATTGGGTGAATGATGCAGTAATGCAAAATAGACAGAAAAATGTTTTTCGCATGTACAACTGTATGTGGCCAGGTCACGCGTTGGATAACCTTCTGATTTAGGGGGAGGGGGGGGGGGGACTAACAAAAAGCCAGACCCTCACACACCCCCACCTCAATGACGTCATTTATAAATAGTAATTGACTATTAATAATGTTCAATTAATTCTAAACGTAATTAATTTCTAAATAATTATATAAAAATAATCTTACCTGCCCTGTTTTGTGAATTAGATGTGCCTAATACTATGAAAGTAAATTAATATCTGTTGACTAGATCTAGATCTAGTGCTGTCTAGTGTCTGACAAAATGTGCTGAAGTGTTGAATCGTACGGTTAGGAAGTAGTTCATAAACGATACATTTATCTCCTCGATACTTGTGAGGTTGAGAAAGAGGGGTGGGATAGGGGTCGGCTCGGGAAAAAAACTTGAAAGCGACAACAAAACGCCTTGATCTATGTACGTCAGCATCGCCCATTGTAAAACTTACTCAGGGGAGATTATTCCAAGTATAGACTTTAAAAGTTTACTATGATAATTCTCGTAAAAGCAAAAACAAGTAACCGTATATAAAACTGAAGTTTCTAGTATAGTATTATATTATTTTTTTTATTATTTGTAGGATGCAAGATACAAATTCAACCACTATCACAAACACATTAACATTGAAAAATGTACAATGGATTTCGGGTCCCTTACCAATGCCGCAAAGAAGAAAGCCCACTTCATATGTAGCGGCTTTTCGTGCTATGGACTTTGTTGTTTTTTAAAAAGAATTTTGCCGACGACAGCGTGTGTTTGATTGTAGGGAAATAGAACTCGGCCTTGACAATGGTTAAAAAATACAACTATAAATAACTGTTTAAAATATGTAAAACAAATTCGACAATTTTTGAACCCCCTTTTGTCCCCATCCCCTGCCTAATCCGCGACAGTACACTTTGGAGGATCGGTTAAACAGTTACGTGTCCTCTATTTAGCTATTGAAGAGGTGGTGGGCAACGGGTCAAAGAAGTCATTCAAATTTGAAGAGTTGCCTATATTTTACACTGTAGTTTGTGTAATGGATTTTATCTGTTGCGGAAGAGCGTGGTATAGTGACTGTAAAATAAAGATAATCGTACCGCAGCTAGTGTTTTTCTTTTACAAACCAAATATTAAGGCAAAAATGCACGAAAATTAAATTCAAAATTTAAAAAAATATTAATTTTGGTCAGCCGTGGGTGGGCCCCTAAACGGCCTGCCCCCCCCCCCCCCCCCCCGCGCATTGCGGGGACTGGCGGGACTGTAGTTCCGCCCCTGTTCATCAGGTAAATGAACAACTACTGACTAGTGTCTTTAACAAAATGTGCAGGAGTGGTCAGTTTACAGTTCAGTAGTTCATAAACGGTTCGTTAATCTATGCATTACATCTTATTGTAAGATTAAGGGTGTGGTGAGGGGTAGAGGTGAGGGGTAGGGGTGAGAGGGGGCAGGGGAGAGAGTTGGGAAGGTTCATTGGAAGGGGACAAGAAAGCGCCGATGAACATCTACATCAATAGTGCCGACTTTTTCCGGTCGTCTAGAAGACCAGGATAGTCGCCGCAACATTTCCCCAGCCCGATTTCAAAGTGTACCGGCACAGTCAAATTTCAGATGCTTCGCTGAAGGGAGATAACTTAAACTTTTACAAGTTTATTGATACAGTTGTTAAAGTAAAAATGAACGCAATTATAAATGTACGAGATCGAAATAAATAATTATATTTTTTGTAGAATTCAGGCCAGTAGTTTAAACACACAATCATAGATATGTATTTTAATAATGTAAACAATATAACAATGCTTTTTTGTTCTCCTAATCGACGCCACTAAAAAGAACGGTAGGCTGCGTCTTTGAAGTTGTCTATATGTCTGGCGGTCTCTCGAGCTATATAGTCTGTGCATTTTTTATCAAAGACGTTTGCCGACTATCGTGTTTGTTTGTAACTGTAGAAGAAAGATAACTCGACCTCCACCTAATTTTTTTTTTTTTTATTTTTTTTTTTAAATAATTTAGCCAGGATTTTTGGGCCCCCAATCGGTCTGGGCCCCCCCCGCATTGCGGGGTCTGGCGGCACTGTAGTTCCGCCCCTGCCCCCCACCCTACCCCACACACAGTCGACCACACGAACAGAAGCCAACTCTGATTGGAGAAGCTGGCTCACGTGACGTGGTTAGGCAGGTGTGTACGCCTGCAGTTTGTAGACTTATGTGTACATATTTGTGTACACATCTCAATGTGCGCGATCTTCTACTGGCTGTGTTGTACATGTGGCCCTGTGCAGGTTGGTGTGTACACGATAATGTAGTGAATTGTGTCCACGCTGTGTACCACAATGTACACACTGCTAGTGTTCGACCCATCTGTGTACTCAGTGTACAGCCTGACTATTGATCTCTGGGTAAACTAGAACATACACTGCAGCAAATGTGGGAAATGGTTTCACACTGGGTAATGGGGTTGTGATAAGGTGTTCGTCTGGGGGTGGGTTCGTCTGGGGGTGGGTTCGTTTTAGGGTGGGTTCGTGTTAGGGTGGGTTCGTGTTGGGGGGGGGGGGGGTCGTGTTAGGGGGGGGGGGGGGGGTTTCGTGTTAAGGTGGGTTTGTGTTAGGTTGGGTTCGTGTTAGGGGGGGGGGGGGGTTCGTGTTAGGGTGGGTTCGTATTAGGGGGGAGGGTTCGTGTTAGGGTGGGTTTATGTTGGGGGGGGGGGGAAGGTTCGTGCACGCTGGGTTCGTGTTAGGGTGTTATTCGTCTATTGATTTATGTGCGTTGTGGTATTAGTATGAGGATGTGTTCGTCTTTGGGTGCGTGCATGTTAGATGGCCTGTCTGCTTCTAGCCGCTCACCTGCATTTCTCTAAGCGCACCCCCAACGGTTTTATAACCCCTGACATCCCCACCAATCCTACCCACAACTAACCCCCCCCCCCACCAACAGCACCCTTCTTCTAACCCTCCCCCCTCCACCACGACTAAGAAAACCACTCTGCTGCCATATATGGTATATGGTCTAGTGACCCGCTTAACACAATACACCCTATTAAATACCGTATGGAAGTGTTCGGAGTGTCTTTTCTGCCAGATTGCTAACAAAACGTGCGTGAAATACGAAATTAGAAAAATTACAGCAATCCGCATTGCTTTTGTACATAAGCGAGTGATATCACAACGTCGACATAAAAATATAGATCTCCATGTATTCAATGACAAAAGGGGAGATCACTAAAAAGTAGCGGTCACTCCATCCATCTTTTGAGCTCGTGTTCACGGTTTTCAGGCCAATTTGTTGACAAATCTGAAAGCCGAGACAAGCGAATCAGGGGCAGATAACTCTCGTTTAGAATTTATATATCGCAGGATGCGGAGAGTTATACAACTAGATCTAGAAGAAATATTTTAATCGAGTGACATTGGACACTAAATCTGAGAGGCAGATAACTCTCGTTTAGAGTTTGTATATCGCAGGATACGGAAAGGGTTGTACAACTAGAAGAAATATTTTAATCGAGTGACATTGGACACTAAATCTGATACTAAATGTTTCAAAAAGCTAATTATCAACTTGATATTATATTTTTACAATTCATAAATATTTTTAAAAAAAAGTGAAACGTAAAAGATGTAACTGAATAGCAATGTTATTAACAAACTCGTTCAATCTCTTTAACACAAGAACGAACTGCTGCATCTAGAATACCAAAAGATACCTTTTTTATTTTCCTATCTTTATTTAACTTGATCCTTGGTGTTTTTGTCGTCTGTTATGGGCGGAAGCTTGCGAGCGAAATGTGACCCACTTATACCGAACCGATTTTTTTTAACGTGATACGTTGGTCAAGATTCGAAGACAGCGCAATGTGGCGTGAATTTTGAAATAATTAAATGATTCATTAATTTTTTTAAAGCTAATTAAAGATTGACATGTAAAAAACGTCACAGTTATAGGTAGGGGTGGGGTGTTCGGATTAATGTAATGATGAGGGGGAGGGGAGTTCAGAAAGTGTGACGTCACACTGGGCTTAAAGAAAACTATAAAGAATAGTTTGAACGCTTATACAAATTTTAGTAGGCGTATTCAATACATTAAAGTCTAATCTAGCCAGTGGCGGAACTAGAAAAAAAGGGCCACCCCGCAATAAAATTTTTAGGCCCCCCCCTATATATATATATATATATATATATATATATATATATATATATATATATATATATATATATATATATATATATATATATAAACACACACAAAATACGAACATAGGATACTCATTGCATGCCTGTTCGGGTTTTAATTTTTAAAAAGTGTTTTTAATTAAAACAAATTACAACAACATGTCATGTGTGTAAGTGCATTAGTGTGTTCTGTGAAAATCGGTTTTTTATTTTATCTCTGCCATAAGACCTCTAAACATCTAGTCGGTCAAAAGAATATAAACCTTGAAAGCTTTGTATAAGTAATGGTGTCTCGTGTTATGTTTATTTTTATTTATTTTTTGTATTTTTATTTATATTATTAATATTAATTACATTTCCTTTTTATACAGTGTCATTCTTTAAGTACTTTATAAAAAAAAATAATTCAGAGAAATAATTGCTTTTTAATTTGTTTAGTACAAATCTATTACAAAGAGCTTATGAGCACCCCTATTTGACTATTTAAAAAAGGGAAATAAGTAATGGAAGTGGCGTGAACGTTTGTTTATCTTTGATAAGTTTGATTGTAGGAGAAAGAGGACGGCTTTCAGGGTGGTTTAAAAACAAAGGGAAAGAGAATATACAATAGCGTGGGGTGGTGTCTATAGAATAAAGATAATCCAACCGCAGCTACGGTAATCTTTTTTACAAAACAACCATCAAGTCAAAAATGCACGAAAATTAATTTTTTTAACAATAAAAAATTGATTATGGTCGGCTGTATGGGCCCCTAAATGGCGTGGGCCCCCCCGCATTGCGGGGTCTGGCGGCACTGTAGTTCCGCCCCTGACATAAAATAAAACACCTTCATCATTCCAGATACACCCCCCCCCCCCCCCACCAAACCCCACCCGCGCGGCACTATTACAATATTTATTTTACTAACCAAGTTATTACACTCGGTAACTCTAGATCTCCTAACACCGACTTCAATGACACCGACTCTTAGATCTAAAAAAAATGAAAAGTTGAACCAAGTACACACGTACTGTATTTGTTTAGCCACAGCGGACCAAGGGAGAGCATCGGCAGGTATTCTGTAACCCGTAGCGGACTGAACCATCAGGGTCGACGATCCCTGTGGAAGAATAAATATAGTTATTTCCCTTGGGCAAGGAAGACGGCGTACAAAATTCGGTCAGTCTAGCTGGCTTGCTGGCAACCCAAGATTAGTGATTTACAGCGTCACGATTTGGAAACTGACGTGGCGTGACACGTACCAGGTGACTTCATTACGGCCAGTGACATCACTATGAAAAACATTTGCAAATCCTACTGGTTTCTTTTTTTTTATTGCCACGGTCATATATTTTACAGCGTCAGTTTACCTTGCCATGTTCGTTTTATTATTACAAATTTAATCATCGGTTAGCGAAGACGTATACAGATTTACATTATTATTTTGTTTACATTTTCATTATGAAGCTGATTATATATATATATATTATATGATTTATATATATATATATATATATATATATATATATATATATATATATATATATATATATATATATATATATATATATATATATAATCATATATAATCATATATATATATATATATCTAAATATATATATATATATATATATATATATATATATATATATATATATATATATATATATATATATATATATATATATATGATTATATATAACAGAATGGTCATTCAATGTTCTTAGGAGTGATAGTTAGGGTCTAAGTTAGTTAATAAAAGTAATACATAATTTTTTTTTTTTTTTTTTTTTTTTAATGGTTAAATAGCATCTTTAATAAAATCCATTTTCATTGCAACAATCCTGGTATGGTTCTTAGTCTCAATAAATAGTTTGTGTTTAGTTCTTTACATTAAGATCAGTGCAAAGTTCAAACAATTTTTACAGGAACAAAATAAGAGTAATGAACATATTAGGATAAAAGTTAATAATGCTAACTTTCAGAAAAGGAACAAACAAGAAGTTAAAATGCATTAAAAATTCAAATGATTTATCTAATAGAAGCCTCAGGCAGGTTTATTTGATTTATCAGATACTAGGCATACTGCCTAGCTTCGCTTAGGTTTTCAAAAAAATTAAGGAATTGAATAATTAATTAATAGGTGATTGGCTGCTATCTTAAATGCTTAGGGCCTAAATTTATACAGTGGAGTAAATTTCTAGTGCAAAGATAGTGATGGAATATTCGCAAACTTATCACTCGCACGGTTATTAGAGCTGCAAGGGTTTTCTCAATAGTATCAATCAAATATTATAATAAATTAATTTCGAAATTAATTTTTACATATTCAATACAATGAAAAACTTGATTTATAACAAAATATTTATTTAAAACAATGCTATACTCTATGATTTTTGTTTTTTTCTTGAAAAGAGAATACAAAATATTTTAAAATTATTACATTAAAAAGTTACTTCCCCTGTTCATAGACTAAATGACCAAATCTCGTATAGTGAGAATTTCACTCGCGGTCACTTTTTAGCCCTCGTCGCGGGCTTTGAGTGAAACCGACAGTTTTCCCTAAAGGTCAAGCCATTTACCTAAGAGCATGCAAAAAATTAGCCAGATGTAAAGACGGTAAGTGCCCTAAAATCAGTTTTGAAATCACCCTCTGTTTTTCCCATAAAATACAAAAATTATATTAGGAAACACGACTGGTCAGTTTTGACCCATTTAACGAATTTTCCCGGACATGGCGAGTTTTTTGTGACACCCCAAGGCGTTCTCCTACCACCTCACAAAATTTCAAGGGGGGTCGTCGGAGGAAATTTTTTTTCGTAATAGAGCTCATATAAAGAGAATTTCACTCGCGGTCACTTTTTAGCCCTCGTCGAGGGCTTTGAGTGAAACCAACAGTTTTCCCTAAAGGTCAAGCCATTTACCTAAGAGCATGCAAAACATTAGCCAGATGTAAAGACGGTAAGTGCCCTAAAATCCGTTTTGAAATCACCCTCTGTTTTTCCCATAAAATACAAAGATTATATAGGGAAATACGACTGGTCAGTTTTGACCCATTTAACGAATTTTCCCGGACATGGCGAGTTTTTTGGGACACCCCAAGGCGTTCTCCTACCACCTCACAAAATTTCAAGGGGGGTCGTCGGAGGAAATTTTTTTTCGTAATAGAGCTCATATAAAGAGAATTTCACCCGCGGTCACTTTTTAGCCCTCGTCGAGGGCTTTGAGTGAAACCGACAGTTTTCCCTAAAGGTCAAGCCATTTACCTAAGAGCATGCAAAAAATTAGCCAGATGTAAAGACGGTAAGTGCCCTAAAATCCGTTTTGAAATCACCCTCTGTTTTTCCCATAAAATACAAAGATTATATAGGGAAATACGACTGGTCAGTTTTGACCCATTTAACGAATTTTCCCGGACATGGCGAGTTTTTTGGGACACCCCAAGGCGTTCTCCTACCACCACACAAAATTTCAAGGGGGGTCGTCGGAGGAAAATTTTTTTCGTAATATAGCCCATATAAGGCGCAGGTCAGTCGAGGTCAGTTTTGACCCCCTCTCCGTAGACTTTTCGGCAAACCGTCACCGACCCTCGTGTTCTATCGCCCCAAGGCACCATCGTGCCAAATTTGACGCGCCTGCGGCGCCGGGAAGTGCCCTATCGGGCACCTGACCACTTTGCTTTTTATATATAGATATTATACATATTTTATCAATTGTATAAGAAGCGAATGGCGTTTTAATATTAAAACAAAATACAATGATATATGTATACTAAAAACAGAAGTTAAATTGTATGGTTTCTATAATTTTAAATACGTTCAATTTCAAAACCTTTTATTGAAAAAAGTTAATGTCTTTTACGCTTTTATAAAGAAAAATATTTAAATCTATACAAAGGAATTAGTATAAAATCCTAGTGAGTATTTTTATAAAATGGAAACAAAAAGATATACATTTTGAGAGAAGTAATGAACTTAATTTAAAGGGAAATAACTAACAGCACGAGTAGATGGAAGTAACTTACTTATTCGAGTCGTCTCAAGACAACATTCGTTTCTTGTCGTGGTGTTAAAGCAGGGGACTTGATCGACGCACACTATCGGTTGAGTAGTCGAACTGGTGAGGGTGCAGTAGAGTGGCTCTGTACTGAGTGGTGATGGGGTGGTGGTAGTCGGTAATGTGGTGGTGCTGGCTGTTGTGGTGCTGACTGACGTGGTGCTGCTGGCTGAAGTGGTACTACTAGATGCTGGTAACGTGGGTGTGGTTGTCTGGGTGGTGGGTGGTGGTGTAGGGGGCAGGGCAGGGGCGTTGGACTTGATACACGTTTTGTTCGTGTCACAATGGCACTCGTCTACTAGGACATTCGTCGCTGGGGACGGTGGTGAGAAACATTGAACACGATTAACTGGCATGCGCATTATAAGTTAATTAATTAATTAATTAATTGATTAATTAAGAAATTAATAACTAAATAAATGTGACAATGTGTGACGTCATTTATTGATGACCACTAAATAAATAAATAAATAAAATAAATAAATTAATTAATTAATCTAATAAAAAAATAATAAATGAAAAATAAGTAAATTAATTAATCAATTATTTAATTAATTAATTAATTAATTAAATGTATATATATATATATATATATATATATATATATATATATATATATATATATATATATATATATATATATATATATATACATATATACATATATAAAAATAAGAAATAAAAATAAGAAATAGATACTATATAAATAAGTAGTATTTTGGCAACTGGACATAGAGCTGAACACACTATTCCTGCACATAAATTCAACTTTATCTGCTAAATAGATCGCTAGATTTACAGATTTACTTAATTCACTTTTAATGTCGTGTATTTTACAACCAAAACTGTGCTAGGGTTGGAAATGGACGTACATCTGATTTTTTTTTTTAGATCGGGATATTAATTAGCGTAAAGTTGAGTCTAGGTTTTGTCTTGCGTGTCTTTTGGGTGTTCATTTTAAATAAGGTTTGCATTAATCATTTATTTCAATTTAAAATTACAACTCCGATTACTTTTCTAATTACGTACTATACAGTCATGCTGGTTAACATACTTAACACTGTAAAAAAAATTTCATTATTTACAATGTGGAGAGTCGACTTACCGTCTCTGCTGATTCTCAGGCAACATGTTTGGATGGTCGAGGAATTGAAGCAGGGAACGAATCCCGAGCAGACGATCCATTTGAGTTGTGTTGAAGTGGTGCAGTAGTTGGGTGTCTCCTTCAGGTAGGGCGTGGTGGTTGTCGACATGGTGGTGGTTGTGGTTGTTTTTGTTGTCGTTGACGATTTGGTTGTCGTGGTTGTGGGTGTTGTGGTTGTGGTTGTCGTTGGCGTTGTGGTAGTGGTTGTTGTCGTTGTTGTTGTTGGCTGACAGTTGACAGCAGCACTACATTTACATTGTCTTACCGTCACTCCATTTACTGAATCATAACAAAAGCGTAATATATATATATGCAAATTTACGTACGCCGATAGCTTTACATTATTGAACAGAGAATACAAATATTTAAATTATGAAAGTTTTCTCATTCATTTTACTCATAGAATGCACTATGAGAATACAAAAGTGTATAAGTTTTTTTAATGAACAGAAAGTAAGTTTCACAAACGTATGATACCATTCCACACCAATCTATATTTACTTCTGATCTTGTCCAGGTAACACCCGCCATTAACGCATAAAGTGCACGGGCAAATATATAAACGCACATGATACATCTTCTTATCCTAGCGCCATAGCTAGGGCTAGGGCTGGGACCGTGAGACGGGGGCTTGGGCTGGGGCTGGGGCTGGGGCTGGCGCTGGGGCTGGGGATAGAGCTAGGGCTAGGGCTAGGGTTCGGGTTCGGGTTTGGGTTAAAACCTAAATGTGCAAGTTGTATATCATCTTTCTAATATTGTCTTTTGGCGGCGGGTTTTTTTTTCTTTTGCCTCCCTTATCTGAGTAACATCATTTTGTTTGCCCCAGTACGTCTATGTACAATGTTATCTCTCTTACTACTACAACACATGGGGTGTGGCTATAACTTACCCAGCAACAGCGCCATACAGCAGCTAGGTCTAGACACCGACCAGTAACACAGAGACGGTACACAGTTGCTGTAGTCAGACACGGCCGTCGTGCAGTAGATGGGGGTGGAGTAGTTGAAGCCAGTGCTGGTGTCCAGTGTAATCTGTTGACCGCTGCATACTTCATGTGATGACCACACGATGACCAGTACTAGACCGAACCATGCCCTCGATAACATTTTCACAAAAGTTATGTATTACTACAAATTTTGTCAGAACGTATTTGTGTCCAAAGATGTGTACCGTTGTCTTATTATATAGGCAGTCTACAAGTATTGGACAACTGCCATTAAATCTTTATAATCACCACACCATGTGAAGTACAGTTTTTATTGCTTTAAATCTCACAGAATATAAAATTCTTCAACGACCTTCAGAAACCTAAAACTTTACCATATAATAAAAAGTTTCTAATAAAAAACATCAATTATTTCTAATAAGGATATTGTTCTTTCCAAACGCTTCATCAACTACAATGGTTATTGTTTACAGGGAGTGTAAACTCGCATAGGTACACGTACGCGATTGATAGGATTATGTGTTGACCTGACCTTGACATATGACCTTGTCTTCATAATATCCCAGCAGTGTTTCTCACGGTGCTAGACATGTCTTGACGATATTGATCTTCCAAATGCCGAGCAGACGGTAAAGACAAGCAGACGATAAACAAACTCTGATGCATAGTAGGTTACTCATTTATAACAGGCATTCATACAACTTTAAGGTTTAAGTTTGACACAATATAATATACAACATTTTTTTTAAATAATTGTTTTATTATAACCATTTTGCTCAAAAGTTTAGTAATACAACATAATTTCAATGCATTTATTTATTTAAAATTGAAAACATTTATTGTGAAGATCTATTAAGTAAAACATTTTAAAAATATACTCTGCTTATATTTTCAAGCATTAGTCACTGTCCTGTAATTTGTTCAAATTTTTAACTCAGCGTTGCTTACATTATTCTGTGGATTTATGTAAATAAAAATCTTGAAGTTGAAAAATGTATATTTAGGTAACAGTACACAACACACAAAGGATATATCAAATATTATGACAGATTACAAAATATACATATCATTGCTATGTGTTATTTAAATTCATTACTTTAAATCGCTACAACTTAATTTGATAATTTAATTTTCAAGTTCATGTTTATTACGTTTTATAAACTTTATTAGTTTTAATATGGTTGGTTTGAAAATGTTATAATATTGAAATGGAAAACAGACCAAAAAAAAAAAACGTTTACTATTTTCAGTGATAAAACACAAATACGTTTAGTTATTGTACTGGTAAAAACATACAGCTAAAACAACCTCAAACTTACGGCATTTCATCGCAGACAACTTCGCTCGCACAGTTGCAGTGGTTGATTACTTCAAGGGTGGTCTCATTAGATCCCCAGTATTGGACATCTGTTAAATAATGTTTACATACGGCCAATATATCTATATCTATCTATCCATATATATATATATATATATATATATATATATATATATATATATATGGATATATATATATATATATATATATATATATATATATATATATATATATATATGGATATATATATATATATATATATATATATATATATATATATATATATATATATATATATATATATAAGTGTGTATGTGTGTGTGGGGGGGGGGGGGCTTCATTTATATTAATTACACAAGAAATACAAAATTTAAAACTTTTTTTACAAAGGTTTTCAATTTTAAGATGTGACATTTTTTGTTTTTCCAGTTTTAAAGATGACTAAAGGAACTTAATTATTATACCTTACAACGAAAATACAAGGACTAAATGTCTATTAGTTTAATAAAAAAAAACAACGACTTACACATGGAGGTTGCGCTCATGCAGCATTTGTCCCTGGATGTTGATATGTAACATGGGTCAGCGCTAGCGCACTCTTTGGTGATTTTGGTTGGGAACGGGGTGGGGCAATAGAATGACTTGTCGTAGTAAAATAGGGCGGTGGTTGGTGTTGTTGATGATGAGACTGTGGTGGCGGGAGTTGTGGTGGAATCTTTGGATGGTGTGGTAGAGATTTGTTTTATGGTTGTTGATGAAGCTGATAAAATTGTGGTCAGCGTTGGCGTTTTAGTTGGTGTTGAAGTTGAAGTTGTGGATATGGTTGGTGTGGTAAGTTTAGTTGTGGTTGATGCGGTGATTATAGGCGAAGTGGGTGTGGAAGGTTTAGCTGTTGTTGATGTGGTTTTTGTGGTTGCTGTTGGTGAAGAGAGCTTAGTAGTAGTTGTTGTTGCTGGTGGTGTGTCTGTTGTAGTTGTTGGTGTGGTGGTTGTCGTTGTTGTTGTCGTTGATGAAGAAAGTTTAACCGTTGTCGGAAGGGTTGTAGATTGAGGTTTTGTAGTTGCTGTGCTGTCTGATTTAGTTGGTAAAGTAGTTGTAGCAGTTGATGTGGTAGCTGTTTTTGTTGGTATGTTAGATGTAGTAGATATTGTAGAAGGTGTTGTGGTAGGTGTGGTAGTTGTCGTGGTTGGTGAACTTGTTATAGTGGTCGAAGTTGGCGTTGTGGTTGTTGGGACGAGTTTGATAGTAGTTACTGTTGTTTTGGTGGTTGTGATTGGCGTTGTGGTTGTTGGGACGAGTTTGGTAGTAGTTACTGTTGTTTTGGTGGTTGTGATTGGCGTTGTGGTTGTTGGGACAAGTTTGGTAGTAGTTACTGTTGGTTTGGTGGTTGTTGTGATTGGTGTTGTGGTTGAAGTCGGTGTTGTGGTTGATGTGATTGGTTTGGTCGTTGTTGTTGTTGGTGCAGTAGTTCTTGTCGTTGGTGTGGTAGTTGTTGTAATTGGTACGGTAGTTGTTGTGGTTGGTGCGGGTGTTGTTGTGGTTGTTGTAGTAGATGTCGTTTCTGTTGTCGTTGATGTCGGCATTGCTGCTGTTGCAACTGCACAGTTGACATTGGTGCTACATCTACACTGGTTGTACGATACACCAGTAGCTGTCGAAAAAAAAATGTTATTAATTAAACGTAAGTCTGGACAGTGTGTCTCCAAGGGCAGCAAATACATATTCATGTTACATTAAAATAAAATAAAAACAATATGTCTTTCAAATAAAGCACCCAACTAGCAAAGACAAAATGTAAATATAATATATCAAAAACAAAGCAAGTTATAATTAAGTAATTCCACGAAAAAGAATGAAATCTTGCAAGAGGAAATTAGAGCAAATACCATATATTCTATGTTAACTAGATATTTAGACTGTTAGGGTGAGTTGAATATTTTAAATATATACTATTTGAATCACCGTTAGTATATTATGCTAACAAAACCACACACAAAATAAATATGTGAACACGTGTTTCTTCCAGGCATCTCTTCGGGGCTCAGCGCCACCCCCCCCCCCTTGAAGAAAGTCTACCGCCCCCCCCCCCAACTAAATGGAAATGTATATAGAAAATATATACTTTTAACAGTGTTCGTCCTCCCCCTGCCCCCTCAGGAAAAATAAGTCCCCCCCCCCCCAAAAAAAAATATGCAAACATTCACGGATAAAAATCGCCAAGTATAGACGTGAACTGTTATATAATCTTTTTTGTTTCAGAAGTAAACATTTACATTGTTCGCGCCAGAAGACAATGTTTTGGTTTAGGCTTAACACTGCACAGGCAAGCTATAGGCTTTTGGCAGACATGACTTGAACTAACATAGCATGCTAGTTCCAGACTCGAGCGCATAATATTTGAACCCTAATCATTCGGGTGAGCAGTCCTAAGCTCTACCATCCGACCACGCTGTCCCTTCCATTCCAAAACATTGTTTATGTGCTCACCTGATTTAAAGACAGCCATGCAGCAATATGACCTTGACCCTGACCAGTAGCATGCCGACATCTTGCAGTCGGTGGCAGGTAGCGAGGTGGTGCAGTAGATAGGCGAGCTGTAGTTGAAGCCGGTGGCGTAGTTCAGTTCTATCAACTGGCCATCACACCCTGGGGGTGCCGACACCCACAAGATGGATGTCAGGCACAGAATCGCGAGTCTCGCTATAGGCATCATTCTATAGACACGGTACCAGTCACAATAAAGTTGTAACAACAGAGGTAGCTTCCAATGAAGATTTCAACTCAAGAGATTATGCCACTCAAGATTCCAACTCCAGAGTTAGATGCCACTGAAGATTTCAACTCTAGAGATATATGTCACTCAAGATTTCAACTCTAGAGATATATGTCACTCAAGATTTCAACTCTACAGATATATGTCCACTCAAGATTTCAACTCTAGAGTTAGATGCCACTGAAGATTTCAACTCTTCCTGGCTTTTAATACAAACTTAGACTAAACACTCATATATATACCGTGATATATCATATCAAATCTCATATTACTTATATATTTGACAGATAACACGTTTTTATCTAATTATAACAAAATATGACAAATTATGTTAAATAGTTTTGTAACAAATAATATAATACAAACGTAATTCTCAAGTTACATTATGATTCATAATACCGTATCATACACGATAGGATACTCGTATTTGAACTAAGCCGTCGTGAATTTGTGTAGGTGTGATATAATTGGCCGAAAGAGCATCATGACTGTGCATAAATATAGCTCATTAGAGACGCTTGGTTTGTAAGGAGAGTAAATATTTGAGCTATAGAGGTTTGTCAAAATTGTGTTATTATTTAAATAAAGAAACATCCTTGGGTAAGTACAGAGGATGTCGTTCTAACTTGCACTTCAGCAGTTTTAGTACAAACACGAGAAATGTACGCGCAGGACTGGCGGTAAGGTAAATAGACGAATCTAGAAGGTGTTAGGTTTTCAGCTTGGAGTAATGTGCTTTTAGGTTCAAAAAGTATATGAATACATATAAATGGGTGACGGGGGGGGGGGGGCAGGAAAATAAGATTTTGTACTTTTAACATGCTGTTAAGAAACTTAAAGTAATGCCAAAATAATATTTCTATTGTCATTGTATACACCTCATTTACGAAGATAAAGAAAACACTCATTTGTTTTTGTTTATAAATCCTACTATTTTATTATCTTACTTGTTTTTCTATTTTAATACACATCGTCAAGAATAGCATCTGTTTGGTTATTTATTATTTTGTTATAGTACTAACTTTATACGCAGTTTACTGGTAATGATTAGAATGGATTGTTTATTTTTACATACGAGCATTTTCTAGATTTTGTTTACAATTACTGTGTACTTTTATCTTTGACAGTAAAGTAAATATGATTTGACAATAGGATAGGTTAATATCCTTATATGTGTTTTAGTTTATTTTTGAAGTCGGTTTCTTCTTCTTCATCTTATTCGTTCTTAATTTTTAGTGTTGCGAGGGATCGAGCCTTATCTGCCAGAGGGTTTGAACTCCAGACTTTTTTCGAATTTATCAACCATGAGCTTTGCCGACTCGACCACGCCTCCATCACAATTAAGGATTACGTGTCAACTGGTTTTGCGCCATTGAGGTCATTGACTCCGATTTCAGCCTGCTTTTCTTTTTGGATTTGCTTCCATAGCCTTTGTCCAACAAAGAACAAACTACAATGCAGCAGTTGTTTGTTTTTGGCCTCAGTCCTAGAAGAGTGGCTGTCCCCAGCTAACGAGCCTCATCTGCCCGAGGGTTCGAACTCGAGACTTTTCGGTTTAGCAACCATGAGCTTTACCGACTCGACCACGCCGAACCCAAGTCGGTTTAAAAATCCGCGGTGTTTTTTTTAATTAGTCTGTTTAATGTCGACAGAGAATGTGAGTTGAATTAATATTTAATGAGATACATATAGATGTGTGTTGTAAATGATACGTGGCTTATAAGAGGTAGAGGTGGTTTTGAAAATGTGCTGTATTATACACTTTATCTTTTTTTTAAGTTTTTTTTTAATGCTGGCTATATCTATTTGATATGAATTGTGTGACCTCATAGCGTGAAGTAGGCCTATGTATATTTTTAAATATGGCTACGTGTTCAAATTTTTGTGACTAGTATTTTCATTTGTAACTGGGTAAAACTTGGGTATATACCGTAGTTTTTTTTTATTGATGAACTGCCAACTTGTAGAGCCAATTGTAACTTGCTAAATCAACAAAATCTACTGTTTTTATATATTACACGAAAAACAACCATTTTGGATCTTGCATTTAAAAGATGATACAAAGCGATGGTGTTGTCAGTTTTATGCTCAGCTGAGTTTTCTTTTTCTAACTCCCGTCAATTGCATATTCTACATTGTTGTAATCATCACCTTAAACCATCTTCAAGCAAAGTATGCGGATAGAAACAATAAGACACAAACATAATTTGACAGTCCCATAAGTATCACAATCGATTAGTCCTACTTGTAAATGAGTATGATATTTCTGCTGTTTACAAACCTAGTGTCACTAAGCAGCAGACATATCATGGAACATTTTAGAGTTCTCACTTTAAAACCTTTGTAGAGCTGATTGGCAGAAGTGGTTACACGTCTGACTTGATGCATGGAAGGCGAGGCGATTTGGTGCCGTGTAGAATGGTAGGTTCGGATCCCTTTGGGTTCTGACTGTTCTGTCTTTACTTGGACTATATTCTCTACCTTTGTCTACCCTTGGCGTTGAAATATCACTTTCTGATTACATTGCGATTTCACTTTTCAACCTAGACATTCCGATTCTTACACTATGCGATACATTATTTAGATACAGTACTTCTATACGATGTTTTCATACAGTATTGCGATACAGTGTCTGGATACAGTATTTCGATACAGTATCGCGATACAGTATTTGAATACCGTGTTTCTATTCAGTATTTCGATCAGTTATATCTATACAGTATTGATACTGAGTATATTGTCTGTTTCGATAGAGTATGTTGACACATTATCTCCATACAGCATTTCAATAAATATTCAATAAAATATCTTGATTCAGTATTTCAATATAACATCTATATACAGTATTTCAATAAAATATATTGATATAGTAAGTCGTCTTGCAATATCTTGCAAATGCGTCTGCAGCGTCTATGGAGGCCTAAGTCTTCAATTTCTTACAGACTCAAGCTAATCATCTACCCATACAGTAGCAAGAGCCTGGTACGTCGGACTCCCAAGTCCCCTACATAATAGCCTGGGGGAGGAGAGTTGCAAGACTGCCGGGAACCAAGAAGGGTTTGCTCTCGACCCTAACCAGATATCTTGACTTTAAGTTGCGGCCTTCACGTGGCTTCGGATGTGTGCCACTAGTCGGACCAAGCTCATGACCCCCCTAGTGGGTGCGGGATGGCTAGTGGTAGCCAACAGCAGCTAGAGGTTTTTGATCTGGCCGAGTAGAACTGCTGTATGCGCTAGGTTCAAAGAATGTCTAGTCATGATAATTTGATGGCTTTTTCAACTGGACATGAACCATGGTTGTAATATTCATAAAAACAATCAAAAACACAAATGTGTACAATATTTGAGTTTATTTTTAATTTGAAATATTTTAAAATAAGATAAAAGTTTGGTTTATAATTAATTAGTAAACAATTTTCAGAAATTGCCTTCTTTTGGTCGACTTCCCAACAACACCCAACGTGGCCAAATCATCGCTGTTGAAAATATTGCTTTCATTACACTAAAAAAAAACGAATGCAATTAGCATTACAAAAAAAAAAATAACGTGTGTTACCGTATGTTTTGGGATTCATTGTAATTTGATAAATTTACTAGATATATGTTTAAAAAATGGCTAAATAAATTAACACAGCATGTAAAAGAGATTATTAATGTAGATTTTATAAGTTTAATTAGTTACGTCCCCTGCTAAATGCATGATGCTTTGATTAACCAAGATACAATGTTCCAAAACAAATGTCAACTACATTACATGACTCTCATAAACTCCTACAAATGCTCACCTTCTGCAACTAGATACACATGTACTTGGGAGAACAACGACACACGTTTTTCAACATGTAGAAGACATTACCTGTCTCGCGGTCCACAGATTCTAAAACAGGAAAATAAAAAATTGTATTCTAGGGTGTAAGGTATTCTAACAAAGCTTTCAGTATTTTTACAAGCTTTTATTTAACTCACTTCCTCTGTCTGTCGTAAGTCGACAGTCTGTCGTCAGTCTAGATCGAAACACAGGAGTGAAAATTCGGATAGTTCTACTTGACCGATACGATTCACAGTTGGCACGTGGGTCAAGACATGAAGACAATGCAATATGAAATTAAATTTGACTTAATTGGATGCCTAATTAATTTTTTATGAATTAATTAAAATTTGGACCGAATTTGTAGGCATGTCTATCCAATCACACCACACGCGTCATCACGTTCAATAGCTGCGCCATCAGGTTCAATAGCTGCGCCATCACGTTCAATAGACGCGGAATGGTTTTTAGTCATGTAACACTATTGCAAATAAAACATGTAAAGTACTGAAAAAAAAAATTCATAAAAAACGTTTTAATAACAAGCTTTTATGTACTAATGCACTAAAAAGTAGAAAATAAACTATACACTACTATTTAAATTACTATAAAGAAAAGCGTGGGTCTCTTCTCAAACATTAGTAAAGGTATCCAATAGGTACTAAAGTACTAAAGTGACCCACGCTTTTCTTTATAGTAATTTAAATAGTAGTGTATAGTTTATTTTCTACTTTTTAGTGCATTAGTACATAAAAGCTTGTTATTAAAACGTTTTTTATGATTTTTTTTATTTATTTCAACGTAAATTTGTACGCATATTTATTTACTTAGACTTAAATATTCTTTTTGTTAAACCCGGTGGCCGGATTTATATTACGAGAACTTTTTTTCTTTTTTAATGTTTTGAAATATATCTTTTAATAATTCTATATAACTGTAATTATTGACTGAAATACTTCTATCTAACGATTATTACTAGTCGCGTTATTGAGGAGTGGACCTGTACAATAACAACAATTTTGATTGTTGACGTATTATCCTCAGTAAAACAAATCATACTTATGTCATGGAAGTAAGAGACAATGTTTTAAGAATCACTGCGATTGTTGTTTTACAGCAGTCATTGCAGCGTTTGATTGCATTGGGCTACGATCTTATAGTATAAGAACCACTGCAAGTGTTACCTTACTGTCATCCGTCTAACGGTTGGTGGCATTTCGGGTACGAACCTGTAGTTTAAGAATCACTGCAACTGTTGACTTACTGTCCATAATGCACCGGTCGATGATATCTATGTACGTACCTGTGGTTTAAGAAACACACCTATCTTTTACTTACTACCCTACGTTGAAGATTATCGGAGTACTGACCTATAGTTTAAGAACCTCAGCCATTGTTCACGTATGTCCTTAATGCACCAGTTGATGATATTGATGTATGGACCTATAGTTTAAGCACCGCTGTAAATGTTGACTTACCTTACTTAATGCACCAGCTGATGTCAGATTATCGGGGTACGGACCCATATCTTAAGAACCACTGTGATTGTTCTACTATCGTACGTTCACGATATCGGGGTACGGACCTTTAGTTTAAAAACCACTGCAACTATTGACTGTCATTTATGCACCACCTGATGATATTGATGTACGGACCGATAATTTAAGAACACTCTAATTTTTGACTTATCAGTTGATGTCAGATTATTGGGGTACGGACCCATAGCTTAAGAACCACTGTGATTATTGACCTACTTTCACGCGTGACATCCATGCAACAGTTGACCCTGGTCGTCGTGTTGAAGCAGGGAGCCACCTCTGAGCAGATGATGGGCTGGGTGGTGGCGCTGCTGCTGGTGCAGTAGAGTGGGACATCACTGATCACCGGTGGCGGGGTGGTCGTCGGCGCTGGTGTAGGGGGCAGGGCGGGGGCGTTGGACTTGATACAGGTCTTGTTGGTGTCACACCGACAGTCGTTTATGATCACGTTGGAAGCTGCAGTACAAAGAAAAAAACAATTAAACATTTAAATATACATTGGCGGCTATGGTTATAGCAGACATCAGGGGCGTAGCGAGGGGGGGGGGGGCGGGGGGCGCGGACCGCACCGGGTGACACCATTTAGGGGGGTGACACCAAGGCAAAAAATAGCAAAATATGTAGAGAAAAACTTGAGGGGAAGGGGGGTGCAAAACTAAAGTTTTAGGAGGGTGCAAATCGAAAACTTGACGGGGGGGGGGGGGTGCAAATCGAAAACTTGAACGTTTGTCACCGGGAAGGGTCGCTACGCATCTGGGGGGTGACACCATTAAGTGCCGCACCGGGTGACACCCGACCTCGCTGCACAGATATAAAGATGTTTTTTTTTTCTTTTTATAACGTCTAAAGTAGTCGAGTATCATTTCAGACATTGAATTGTTAAAACACTAAAAGAAGTAAGTTTACGTCTAAATGTAATGGAAGCTCTGTCAGACCAATGGCCAAACGCTTTTGTGTTTTAAGATTTAAATCTGGTAGTCGTTATCGGGTAGACTGATTATTACAACAAATCATGTTTCATATAGTTAGCTGATAGAATGCTCTGTCACTATAATATGGGTTTCTAAGTATCTTTCAGAAGGGACGGCGTGGCCTAATGGTAGAGCATTAGACTGCTAACCCGAAAGGCTCGAGCTCGAATCCGAGTTGAAGTCTTAGAACATTCCTGAGTCCACCCAGCTCTAATGGGTACCTAACTCACGTTAAGGAATTAAACGCTGCTGGAAATAGTATTAACCACATTATATCTTTATATGCGGAGGGCAAGAAACACATGAGCTATTCTTTATCCGGCTATTTCAATGGATCGCTAGGTCTAGAGAGGAATCTTCAAATATCTTTTGGGCACTGACACTAAAAAGTTATAGATATCTAACACAAGGTACATTGAAATAGTAAATGTTTACCGAATAATTAGAGTTAAAGCTCATTCTGTGTAAACCACAACATAATGGATCTAGGCTTGTACATTAAATTATAAATTGTCTAATTGTAGTAATTCGTGTGCAACATTTTAAGACATAGGGATAATGTTAAAGTTATGCTTGTACTATCGTTAATATTGAGAAGAATGTAGACTATATTAGCTAGGTTAATAGACTCATTGTAATTATACAATTTTGAATTATAATTAGTATTTTGAGTTTATTAGAGTATAACGTGTAAATAAATGACAATAACATAATACGAATACAGTACCATTAACATGTGACTGGAATACTCACGATCTCGCGTGACTTTCAAGCAACAAGACTTCATGGTGGTGGAGTTAAAGCAAGGCGCCACACCAGAACATAGGGTCCATTTCAGCTGGGTGCTGGTCAAACAGTAGGCCGACACGTCGCTCAGGTAGGGGGCGGTGGTTGTAGGTGGTGGTGATGGTGTTGTTGGTGGTGTGGTCGTGGTGGTTGTTGGCGTAGGTGTGGTGGTGGTTGTTGTAGTTGTGGTGGTTGTTGTTGTAGGTGTTGTTGTTGTAGTTGTGGTAATGGTGGTTGGTGTAACTGGCTGGCAGTTAACAGCGCTGTTACATTTACATTGACGAATCGACACGCCATTGACTGTGAGAAAAACACAATGTATTACACGTGTGTAATAAGATGCAAGGTTATACTCACTGGAGCAGATTTTTAAAAATTACAACAGTTCAAAGGTCAATCTTAACTATGCAAGTAGAAACGTTGTACGCCCAGAATTGTTCTAGTGCGTTAATTATACAACAAGTAAAATACAAGAAAATGTATCGTGTCTATATATGGATGCTCTATTTCGTCTTAAGTTTGCTATACTTATTAAAAGTTTGAACTTGATTGCAACAATAGTGAGGGAAATGAATCAATATCCTAACACTGATACAATGTTTACATTAGAAGTATGAACTAGTGGAGTGGTCCACAACACAGTTTTTTGTTATACCATTTAGCATTAAGTGTCAAATATACTACTTGATGGTGAATGATCAAATGTTTGATAAAAAGGATTATTTTAAGCGAAAGAAAAAACAAATAATAAACCGTCATTCGTTAACCTGTCTACGCATTTATACCGTTTACTGCTACAAACAAACCACACCTCATCACCATAACTTACCCAGCAACAGCGCCATACAGCAGTAAGGTCTCGACACCGACCAGTAACACAGAGACGGTACACAGTTGTTGTAGTCAGACGCGGCCGTCGAGCAGTAGATAGGGGTGGAGTAGTTGAAGCCAGTGCTGGTGTCCAGTGTAATCTGCTGACCGCTGCATCCTTCATGTGATGACCACACGATGACCAGCACAAACAGCAAACCCGAACTTGTGCAAGATAACATTTTCCAAAACTATTTTTTTTTCATTCCAGTTAGGAAAATGCCCTGAGCTGTTTTACTGACTTATATACCTAATTTTATAATTAGCTATTGTTCTTAAAATTGGGGTCATTTCCTTTTCTTTATTGGTTTTACTCCAATTTAATGTTGTTAACGATTTTTTAGAAACACAAAACCCTTTTATATTATACTGCATACAACTCAGACTACTCAACAAAGTATCGTCTAATGTACATTTTTGGTCCATAATATGAACAATAGATTTACTTGTTTTCATATAATGTTTGCAAACAACGTTCAACCTTTTATTTGACACTGTCCTTTAGCTATGTCGCCGGATTTTTCCCACAGCATTAGAGGACAATCTTGAAGGTAATGGTAAACAATAGCAGCTGTTGTTTAATGTGTGACCTTCCAATAACCTACAGTTTAATGTCTGGAGATCGAAAGTATCAAAATGAAAGGTAAAAAAGGTATACGTTTAAAAAAGCTTAATTTCATTTCTCTTTTTATATTGTTTTAAGATCAATCTCTAGGTTTTAAGATTATGTTTTAATTCATAAAGGTGTTATCAGTAAAAAAAAACAACCAAAAACAGAAAACAATCAGTTTCTTTCAGGCATCTCCACCCCCCCCCCTTCCCCTTGAACGAAATGGAATTTATATGGAAAAAAAATACTTTAACGTTTCCGCAGTTTCCCCCACCTCCACTTCGCAAGAAATATTTAGTCCGCCGCCCCCCCCCTCCCCGAATATATCAAGTGCCGTCGCCCCCCCCCCCCCTCAAGTCTGAAAGAAACACTGAAAACTAAAAACAATCTACGCACATCTACTTGTATGTCATGAAGAAAATAACGTAGCCAATTGTATTTTAATTCATGAAAAAGTTCATACATCGTTTATCGAGTGTTTTGCAGGCTTTAAACATTGCTGAACTGTAGTTTCACGGGCATTAACTTTCATTTGTTTAGTGTTTTTTCTTTCTATTGCATTCTCATTTATATAGTTTGTGTCGGTCTACCCGCTAGAAAATGTATTACTTTTAAGGATGGGGATACTAGCATGCCGGACAACGCATGATTGTCATTGTACCGACTGATAAAAAATGTCACCTTAGTGTAGGACTTTAATATAGTAATTAACGTGATGATATTACAATCAAGTCCAGTTCGGTGTCAACGTAAGACAATAACGTTTTGTTTTATTTATTTGTTATGATAGATGTGGATTTCAATGTCAGATTGGGCTTATAAGGGGAAAAATGGTTTTATTTGACTCAACAATTGATTTATTGTTTGAAAAAATTAACACAACAAAAATATTATCTTATGTTTAAATGTTAACTTTTATTTAGAAAATTATTGTCTCTTTTTTTAAAATAACAAGTGCAATGACATCAGGTTTTAAAGCAAAACAATCTCCTTTGATGTCAACAACTTAACTGTGAAAGGTTCTTCAAGGGTGTCTGAGGATTTAAAAAAAAGAATTTCGCTAAATTAAAATTAATTCAAATCTGAATTAAAAACGGTAACGAATACTTTTACAGCGATTGTAAAACAAATACACATATGAAAAAATATTCAAGCTGTAGAAAGTCCCTGTTTATAATGTTTCAAACCAAAAGTTTTTTAAAAAAATTTGGTCAACAAGATTAGCGACCGTATCAAATGGGGTCAGTGAATTTCTAAAGGGTAATTAAAAAACGAAATCTTGCGTAGGCGGGGTAGTAGCATGCGTTTGCTCAGTAAGTCTCGTATAATACACAAAGTTAGATTTTAGAATCTTTTTATTTTTCAATGTTAATATTTTATTTAACATAGTTCACTCCAGATGTGTTTTCCGTATTAAAACATCGGTTAATCTGTAGCTCTAGCCCTAACATACCATGCCACTACATAAACCACTACATTTTAGTTATGTTCTTGTTGTCTGGTGTCAGCACTACACGTCAACAAAACTTACAATTCTTCAGGGCAGACTACATCAGGTGTGCAATGACATTGATCCACTGCTTGAATTGTCGTTTCGTTTCTCAAAGTTCCATCACCGTTGAAAACTGGTATATCTGTGTTGTCATTTAGGAATATAGTGTGTGAATATATATATATATATATATATATATATATATATATATATATATATATATATATATACATAATTAAAACATGCAAGTATGTATATACATACTTATATAAATGTATAGCCTATGTTTATGCATATTAGTATATATACAAGCATAATAGTATATGTCTTTTTTAAATTTCTCTATTGATATGTTCCATCAACAACGTTTAAAACAGTATTATATATTATGCAGCATGAAGCATTGATTACTAAAATCCCTTATTAAATAGTACTAGATTTTTTACTTTTAAAAGATAAAGAAAAGAATTTAAACTCGAAAGTTATAGTCTATAATGTATTTATTTACTAAGAGATACTTAAGTTAAATATCAGATATGGTACCATTTTTCTTCTAGAATACAAACTAGTTAAGTAAAAGTAGAAACTCCCTTTGGGATGTGACTGTCAATGAGGCAGTTGAAGTAGAGTTCACCTGTTTTTGGTTGAACTCAGCATGTGAATGGTCATGGCGGTCAGCATTAACATAGCTACTTTTACTGTCCTTAACGTGTCGAAGAGTTTCCCCATTAGTGCTGGGTGAACTCAAAGACTTTCTACTGACTCAAGGCCATTTTCAGAACGGGATGCTTTCAATGTAGTAGCTGTGTGCTTTACCGATCTGTAGCGCCGTCATATTTAATCAAATCTATTATTAAACTATGCTACTGATAAATGATTTATTTTATTCAAGCGAATTGAGTTGTTTCTATGACAGCAACCACTGGGTTCTTACAATGGAATCTCAGCGTAATAGGCTTGAAAAGTCTATGTAATCACACTAAATTTTAAAAAGAACTTTTTAGAAAATATTATAGTTTACGTTTAAAAAAAACGATCAATAACACTCATTTTCATATTTTGTATTGAAAATAGGCTGTTGAAAAGCCGTTTAGAATTATTTCATAAATTTAAATATTTAAAAAAAAACACCATCAACCCTACTTGAAGTAAACCGCAATGGCCAGGGAAAGTAAAACAATACTTATTGTTTGTTTAACTATTTCTAGACTTATTAAAACCGGAAATCATTTTACACTTAATACACAAATGTATAAAAATATTCAATTTTGCTTGAAAAATATTCTTTCAGGCAATACACATTTGGAACCAGCTTTTCAAGCCTAGTGTTTAAGAACTCTCTGAGTTATCAAGGAACTTACTCGTAGGAGACACGGATATGCAGCAACTGCTCCTGGTGGTAGAGAGGAAGCAAGGGTCAGCACTCTCACACATTTTGGACTTGGTCGCAGGCACGGGGTTCTTACAGTAATAGGGGGTCGAGTAGAAAAAGGGCGGGGTCGTGGGCTTAGGGGCTGTCGTTTTGGTGGTAGTTGGGGGTTTGGTGACCGTTGTTTTCGTTGTTGGAGGTGTAGTCGTTGTGGTAGGTGTAGTCGTTGTAGTAGTTGTGGTGGTAGTCGTTGATGTGGTAACAACAGCGCAGTTCACGTTGCCGTAACATCTACATTGATAATAAGTAACGCCTGTAACTGTAGGATAAAACATATATAATATATTATTATAATATATATAAATAAAATGTATATATATATATATATATATATATATATATATATATATATATATATATATATATATATATATATATATATATATACATATATATATATATACATATATATATATATATATATATATATATATACATATATATATATATATATATATATATATATATATATATATATATATACATATATATACATATATATATATATATATATATATATATATATATATATATATAAGTACATCGATAATATATACATGTATATTATAATATTAATGTATGTAGTTGCATAGATTGTTAACGTTACATCTACCTGTTTTTAAACCCGCCATACAGCAGTATGACCTTGACCCCGACCAGTAGCAGGCAGACGGCTTGCAGTCGTTGGGTGGCACGGTGGTCGGGCAGCTGAGAGGCGTGCTGTAGTTGAAGCCGGTTGAAAAATTCAGCTCTATCAACTGACCGTCACACCATTGAGGGCCCGACACCCATAACATGAAAGCTAGACACATCATTTGAGCGTTTCTGGGAGACATCATTTTATCATACATGTCTTACACACGCTAAAGAAGTTAAATTGATTTTCGAAGATAAGCCACTGAAGATTTGAAATCCTCCTGGCTGTTGAAATGGTTTCACAAACAGACCCTTATATACAACCTACTTAAACTTGTACCGTTATTAATACAGTCAAGTCAATATTATAGTTTGATAATGTCTAAATACAATATTTAACCACTCGAGTTTAAACCTAGACATGTTTAAAGTAAAAGTAAAAACTAGGATTGATTAAAAAAACAGTTATGCTTTGTATTGTAACACGTTGAAAAGCTAGAGTAAAAATAATGTTAAGAAAAGATATCATGTCTTTGCATAATCTTGGATAATTTAAGCGCCGCTAATTGTGTCTTGAGTCAATATTTAAAAATCTTGAAAGTAAAAACTGACCTTGATTTGTAAAACGAAAGAAGGAAGTTAAACAATTTGAAACGTATTTTTTTTCGCAAACAGAGCTGGGAAAAAAAATAATTTACTGTTAGATAAAATAGTTTTACCGCTGATAATATCTAGTCTAGTTTTCAGACATGTAAGGTTGTCTGATAAATTTCTACATGTACACTGACAGCTTGTGGTAGGCTAACGCATAGACATGTGGTTGATTGTTATAAAGTTTGATAGATACCTGAAATGCTAATAACATTAACAGAAATGGCTTCCTAAGCCTTGAAATACAACGAGTATGTTTTCATACAGCAGGCTATGTTTTTATACAGTATAGTAAGTTTTCATAGAGAAAGTTTTCAATCAGCAGAGTGGGAGCCGGACGTTTTCCCGAAAGACACTTGCCCGAATGCCGTTTGCCCGAAGGCCGATTTCCCGAATGGACACTTGCCCGAATGGACACTTGCCCGAATGCGACAAATGCCCGAATGGACACTTGCCCGAATGCTACAAATGCCCGAATGGACACTTGCCCGAATGCGACAAATGCCCGAATGCCACTTGCCCGAAAGCCGTTTGCCCGAAAAATGTTAATATTAGATAATAAATAATATTACCAAATAGAGATTCTTTATCACTTTAAGTTTAAAATTTTGATAATAAACACAATTCTAAGCATAAAAACAAAGTTCTTTATAATTTTAAAATTTAGCTTTTATTTTTTTTTTCAAAATTAAGAAATGGCTGTAGAAAAATCTATATTCTTTCATAAATGTAAGGTGATGTTGGCGGCGATGTCTTAACATTCTTTTGATGTAAGTTTTGAACACCTTGTTTAGCCGACGTATTGCAGTGGTTATACAGCGCTTATGACATGGTGTAGGCGGCGCGGCGTCTCGCAACATTGAACAGAGGCGCATTTGTTTGATTTATCTTGTTATGCTCAACTTGTGGGGTGATCATTTCACAATAGAACGAGGCGTGGTCTAGGCGGCGAATTTAAAAACTAAAGGTAGTCACATATGTTTTATCTCCATTTAATGCACATTGTTTAGACGATGTGTTGGAGCGATTACTTTATAAAGAAAGCAAAATTCATTTTAAAAACTTGTTATAAACGAAAATGGTATTTTTTGTCGTGTTTTATAGAGGGAAGACTAAGTATGTTTCTACACTTTTTATATAGCAAATACAAATTAATTTAAAATGTCTGCGTGGTAATATATAATTTTTTTTCCTTTCTTTTTGCTAAGATAAGTTTATTTGTATCAACTTTTCAAATTTAAATTGATTACGAATGATTATTTGGTAATATATAATGTTAACATTTTTCGGGCAAACGGCCTTCGGGCAAGTGGCATTCGGGCATTTGTCGCATTCGGGCAAGTGTCCATTCGGGCATTTGTCGCATTCGGGCAAGTGTCCATTCGGGCATTTGTCGCATTCGGGCAAGTGTCCATTCGGGAAATCGGCCTTCGGGCAAACGGCATTCGGGCAAGTGTCTTTCGGGAATTTGTCGTAGACCCCAGCAGAGTATGTTTATATATAACAGGGTATGTTTTTATACAGCAGAGTATGTTTTCATAGAGTATGTTTTCATACAGCAGAGTATGTTTACATACAGCAGAGTATGTTTTTCTAAAGCAAAGTATGTTTACATAGATAATTTTTTTATACAGCAGGGTATGTTTTCATAGAGAATGTTTTTATACAGCAGGGTATGTTTTCATCTTCGTGGCACGCCAAAGCAAAGGGTTACAATTAGTGTATAGACTTAGGAAATTCTAGACTAAGAACATAAATGTACACATGAGAGACCAGATTATATTTTGCAGCGAACTGTATTATATTCGTAGAAATAAGTAAGGAAAGTCTGGTCAAAAGTATGCCCAGCTATTTAATCACATACGTACTTTAACATCAAAACATTTTCTTTAGTGTAGCTATAATAGACTCATGTACACTCATGTATTACGTTGTTCCCAAGTACATTAAATAGTTTATTATGTATTTAATGTGATTTGGGTATGTCTAGTAATTAGGTAAATAGACAGCAGCGCCGAGACATCGTTCACAATTAACTTACCGATTGTACAATTACATTTTCTAACACTAAGTACACCTTTTTTATTAAGGTTTCCCTTTGTTCGGTATTCTTTTATTATTTCTATTATTTCTATTAAGTATATAGTTGTGTTTCCATACTTTTGCCTAGCGATTTTGTTTAAATGAGGAACATAAAACATATTGTCAATATGCATATAAGTTCAGTACCATGCAAGCTATTAAACCACTCGCCCCTTGTTCAGTGTATTTAATTCCTCATACAGACAAAAATATTAGTTCTAACCACACTCATTACAATCCATTTCTTAGGCTGCACAATGTAAAAAGGAACTTTGATTTGTATGCTGTGTTGAACACTCAGAGATATTTAGAAAAAAATCCTTGCGGTTTATAGGTGCAAGTTAACATGAACTGTAACAGATGTTTTTGCAGAGGCGTCGCTGGGAGTGTGGACCGCATCGGGTGACACCATTTAAGGGGGTGACAGCAAGACATATCATATCCAATATATAATAAATAAATATATTTTTGCCAGTTCAATGAATGGTTAATTAGAGTTAAAAAGAGTATTTTAAGTACATAATGACGATCGCGACAAGAGGGGGAACAGGTGGGGGGGGGGGGGGGGAGAGACACCATTACATAAACATGCAAACTACAGAGGGAACAATGCTACACCCTTGTGTATTATAAACTGACTATATAAATCAAAATCATAATTATTTAATGTGAACACTTATTGGGAGGGGGAGGGGGTGGGGGGTTGACCCTATCTGCAAAATTTACAGAGAAAATAAAAGGGGGGGGGGTTGAGGTTACACCATAATGTGCCACATCAGGTGCCACCCAACCTAGCGACGCCACTGTGTTTTTGCTCTAAAAGAAAACAAGGTTACTACTTTGTTAGCATTTGATAGTTTTCAATTCATTTGAATTTTTCGCACTTTATTATTTTCTTCAACTGATATCACGAATAATAATCATGAACGTCATAGCTTTAAAACATATAACCTACACGTTTAAGTTTAAACTTTGAAATATACAAGCAGCTTAAACTCAGGGTTTTTGTGTTAAACGTGTATATATTCTTCTTTTTATACATACTTTTTATATATAATTCTATGAACTTATTTTTATGTGTAAAATATGACACTAATGCGTTAATTGTTATTTCTAATTTTTTTTTTTCAGAACACTATATTTAAAAATAAAATTCATAAAAAACGTTTTAATAACAAGCTTTTATGTAATGATGCACTAAAAAGTAGAAAATAAATTATAGACTACTATTTAAATCACTATAAAGAAAAGCGTGGGTCACTTTAGTATCTATTGGATACCTTTACTAATGTTAAGGAAGACACCCACGCTTTTCTTTATAGTTATTTAAATAGTAGTCTATAATTTATTTTCTACTTTTTAGTGCATCATTACATAAAAGCTTGTTATTAAAACGTTTTTTATGAATTTTTTTTTCAGTACTTTACATGTTTTATCTATAATAGAGTTACATGACTAAAAACCATTGCGCGCCTACTGAATATCACGTTCAGTAGGTGCGCAATGGTTTTTGAACGCAGCCATTACGTGGTCGTGATGGCGCAGCTATTGATGACGCGTGTGGTGTGGTTGGCTAGACATGCCTACTAATTCGGTCCAAATTTTAATTAATTCATAAAAAATCAATTAGGCATCCAATTAAGTCAAATTTAGTTTCAGATTGCATTGTCTTCATGTCTTGACCCACGTGCCAACTGTGAATCGTGTCGGTCAAGTAGAACTGTCCGAATTTTCACTCCTGCGTTTCCGTCTAGACTGACGACTGAAGACTGACGAGGAAGTGAGTTAAATAAAAGCTTGTAAAAAATAAGCACCGTTTAATTTCTACATTTATTGAATGTGATGAGAGACTATAAGCTGCATAGATTAAGCTTATACAAAAGCTATGTCTACTTGCTAAACTATGTGTTTCTCGAATTGCATGTTGATAAAATTTAATTGCAAATAATCGATGTTTCCATCGTATATTTTCCCACGTTTTCTTTAACTTGCTTTCTCTGTGTCTGTGTTTCTGTGTTTGTCTTTCCAATCAAATCTTGCGATCGAAATTTCTGGCACTTCCCAGTTAGCTAGCGCGCTGAAATTTTCAGGGAAGCTTTCTTTTGGATGACCATTGAATATTCAATTGTTATTATTACTAAATTGATCAATGGAAACATTTTATTGAGCATTTTAGACCGCTATATAATCTATATATATAATTCTCCTCTGCGAGCCATTAGAAAAAAAACGAGCGACGCGTACCTCGCGCGCAGTGAAGCGAACGATCCCACATCGCCACAGGCTTAGGGGCAGATAATTTAGTTTGAACCGAGTTTAAACTTACAGGAGGTAGGTCAGTTTGGGGGAGACGATATGGTCGAGTGGTTGGGCACACGATTGCTATCCCACTCGACACGGGTTCAAATCTATGTGTTAACACAACGTGTTTTTTACGAGTTGTCTTTTTACGAGTTGTCTTTTTACGAGTTGTCTTTTTACGAGTTGTCTTTTTACGAGTTGTCTTTTTACGAGTTGTCTTTTTACGAGTTGTCTTTTTACGAGTTGTCTTCGTTTACCCAAAAAAAGTGAAAAGATAAAATCGATAGCAAGATTTTAATGCAAACAAACAGACAAACACTAAAAAGTAGAAAATAATAATCATTAAAAAAGTTTTAAAAAACCCACGTTTTCTGATTGAACTAAAAAGTAGAAAATAAACGCTATACATCACAATAATGCAAGCGATCACTCTACTATAAGCGATCAAAAACGTGGGGCGCCGTCATTTTCTTACAGTTTCTAATACTGTTGACTCTCTACAAGCTCCCTAATAAAAGTCAATAGTATTATCTAATCAATAGTAATATAACTTTTACTTCGGCGCCCCACGTTTTTCATCGCTTATAGTAGAGTGATCGCTTGCATTATTGTGATGTATAGCGTTTATTTTCTACTTTTTAGTTCAATCAGAAAACGTGGGTTTTTTAAAACTTTTTTAATGATTATTATTTTTAATTTTTGTTTTTTTTTATTTTATATCAGAAAATCAAAACAAACCATTTGATAATAAGACGATAATAAAAATTCTAATCGTGAAGTTTATTGCTGGGATATTTGTGTTAGTGGATTGTGGTTGCTACATAGAAAACACAAACAAATGTTTTCACTGTGATTAGTTCCATACGTATCATTACAAATGTCTATATCTACACGCGGTCTTGTTTAGTATTTTAGTTAGAGCTTTTTTGTGATTAAAAACATGTGAAATTTAAAGTGCATTTGTTTCTTTACATATTGGTTGTGGATCTAGCGTCAATCTTTTAGAAATATTTCAACTGCAGGATCCAAAGTTGTTTAGCTTTACGATATCAATGGTTTTAATTTTTCTTAAATATGTCACTTTAAAGCTAAATAACCTTTTTTTTTTATTTCATTATCGCCACTTCAAACACAAAAAATAGCATGTAGCACACCAATGGAATAGATTGTTATATAATGAAAAGAGAATTTTAGTCCATATAAAAATAAAAACATTATATAAATAGTTAGCCCAACAAAACTGCACTTCTGATTAAATGATTTTATTGATTTAAAAAATGTTATATTTTTCAGCCATTCAGCCTGTCTTGACAGCTGTCAGCGTTTTGTATTCAGCCTACATGACAGATGACCTGCGGGAACATAAAGCAACAAAATATTAGAGAACTTTCGTCATGGAAAGATGGTAATTTTATTGAATGTGATAGTTTTAGATACCCCATTTGCTTAATAAAATTAATATTACGACGCTGCATGAAAGCCTAAGAAGAAAATTCTAAGAGTAAAGTTCGTATTCGTAGAAAGATTTAATGACACAAAATCTACCCGTTTTACATTCCTAGTAATAGTGTTATTGTGAAAACTTAATTTGAACTGCTCTAATTGCACTATGATATATATATATATATATATATATATATATATATATATATATATATATATATATATATATATATATATATATATATATATATATATATATTATACTCTAGTTGTGGTGATTGTTTATAACTGTAAATGTAAATATATTAAAGTATAGCTCACAGTACCTATTTTTTTTTTATCGTGAACAGGGAACATCAGAGGTGCAGCGACAAACATTATCTACCAGCAAGAGATTCACAAGGGTACCATCAAATGTTGGAACTTGCGCAACTATACAAAAATCAACCATTAGATATATAAAGCAAACACTAAATGAAAAAAACAATGTACTATCATCATTGGTTTTTTTTAATAAAGAATGGGTTGTACATTATGATTGTATATTCCATTAATGCGTTATGGGATGAAAGCTACACAATTAGGCCTAGTCCTTCAGAATTGCACAAACATAATGAAAATTAAAAATTAAAAAAAAAATTTCTAGTTTACAAAAAATAAAATCCAAATAATTAAATATGTTGAAGATATACAAGACTAAATTAATATTAGTCAAATGAATACAGAGGCGTAGCGAGGGGGGGGGGGGGGCGGGGGGGGGGGACATATGTCCCCGGGCGCCGACCTTAGGGGGGGCGCCAAATTGAAAGTTTGAGGGGGGGTGCAAATGAAAAGTTCGAGGGGGGGTGCAATTGAAAAGTTCGAGGGGGGGGGTGCAAATCGAAAGTTCGAGGGGGGGGGGGGTGCAAATCGAAAGTTCGAGGGGGGTGGTGCAAATCGAAAATTTGCTCCCGAGGGGGGCGCCAAATTGAAAGTATGTCCCCGGGCGCCGGGAAGGGTCGCTACGCCTCTGAATGAATATGTAAAAAATAAACAAGTGTTTATTTATATTTGTCGCACATTTTACACTTAGTATTAATGGTTTTAAGAAAATCTATTTAATTAGGTACTGTAGCACACGATTAACAGCAAACCCAAAGTAAAAAGTTGTACTCACTGATGCGCGTACTTGACAGGCAGCACTTGCTCCTATAGGTGGACAGGAAACAGGGGTCATAGGCAGCACACGTAACAGGCATGGTGGTGGTGCTGGTGGCGTTACAGCAGTTGGCGGTCTCGTAGAAAGTAGGGGGGCCGGTGGTAGTTGGCTTCGTTGTAGTTGTCGTTTTCGTTGTGGTGGTTGTTGTCGGTGTGGTCGTGGTTGTTGTTGGCGTGGTAGTCGTAGTGGTTGTCAAAGGTGTTGTTGTAGCTGGCGCACAGTTTATGTTGCTGTTGCATTTACATTGTTGGAATATTACCCCCGATGCTGTAATAGAAATAGATTTCGGTGTTATATATATATATATATATATATATATATATATATATATATATATATATATATATATAGGCCTATATATATATATAAGTGTGTATTCTTGTATAGGCTCTACCTCTATACTTTTTTTTTTACTTTGGTAAATATAATATTTGGTCGTTAAATATTAGTTGTTGCTTATTTAAAACAAAGAAGAAAACTAGCTGTTCGCCTAAAAGCGATCATTGAAACATTTAGGGACTGAGCTTCTAAGTCGAAAATTGAATGTAAAATGTATACATTGTACTTGTATATCAAAAGTCCGCCGTAAATGTACAAAATATATTATCAAAGGGTTTATACCCGTAGTGTTTTGAACAAACAAACCTGCACATCTTACTTAAACAGACATAGGTCTATCATCATCTTTTCCCGTTCGTTTCCAAAAGTTCTTCTGTTTGATGGACATCGACATGAATGGATATTGTGGTCATCACTATGTCCAGTCGCCTTTACTTTCCTTAACGTGAATAAGGTACCCATCAGAGCTGGATAGACGTTCTACTGTCTTCAACCCAGATTCGAACTCAAGACTTAAGCGTTAGCAGCCTAGCTCTCGACCGTTAGGCCACGCTATCCCATAAACAACGTATGGTTATCCAATACCAGAGTTTCTTCAAGGCATCTGGAAAGTCTTCCGCCTCCGAATGAAATGGAATTAATATAGGAAATATATACCTTTAACAGTGTACGCCCCTCCCCCCGGATATTTTCCGCCCCCCGAAAATTTCAAGTACCCCCCCCCCTGAATAAAAAAGTGTACCTGTTTTGTTGGTGTACATGCAGCACTGTGACCTTGACCCCGACCAGTAGCAGGCCGCAGGCATACAGTCAGCCAAGCCGTAAATCGTGCTGGGGCATGAGAGGGCCGTGCTGTAAATGGTGCCCGTGCTGGTATTTACGGTGATCTGCTGACCGACGCACCCCTGGGGCGCCGACCCCAAGAAGACGGCAGCACATAGTAGAGCGGCACATGCAAAGGACATCATTCTCTAGACGCTCGAACTCTACCACAGTGAATCTGGCAGCTAAGGTTGGCACTGAGGATGTGAACGATTCCACATCATCTTCCACATTTTTATACACGCAGCAGCATCGCATGCCGTGTGTTTACTTAGTCTGATATACGATCTACCTACAAAACTTTGTAAAGAACGCACATTCTCAAGGCTCTGTACAAACTATTGTATAAATTTGCTGAGAGTGCCAATACATTTTAAAATATTACTTAACCAAATTCCAGTCACATTTTTAAAGTCTAAAAGTATTCAATTAGAGATGTTTAACATGTTAAATTATTCATCTAAATGTGTTTTCATTATAACTCCCGCTTTTGGCTTAATTACCACGAACATAAGTTACGTTATGATACATATTGATTTTCTAACAAAGTGAAAGCAAACGTCTGTAGACTTGCATATCATACCAGGATCCAATTACAACGTACCGATGTAAATTAGACTACAGTAATTTATTTTAGACACGTCTCAAACAGGACGTTACGTCATTCCAACGTATGGATTTCAGTGTACGACCTCAGATAGATCAAATATTTGAAATGTGGCATCTGGTGGGTCTAGTTTTTTCTCTGCAGATTTTGTGGGTAAAGTGATACAAAGTATTAATTGCATTGTCTTAGTAAGAGATGCACATTATATATATATATATATATATATATTTATATATATATATATATATATATATATATATATATATATATATATATATATATATATATATATATATATATATATACAGAGGCGTAGCGAGGGAGACAGCGTGTGCGAACCGCACCGGGTGACACCATTTAGGGGGGTGACACCAAGACAAAAAATAGCAAAATATATATAGGGAAAAACTTGAGGTGGGGGGGTGCAAATCGAAAATTTGAGGAAGGGGGTGCTAAATTTCAAATTTTAGAAAGTTTGTCCCCGGGAAGGGTCGCTACGCCTCTGGGGGGGGGGGGGGGTGACACCCTTAAGTGCCGCACCGGGTGACACCCGACCTCGCTACGCCACTGTATATATATATATATATATATATATATATATATATATATATATATATATATATATATATATATACTATGTATAGATACGTGTCTTTGTATAGAAATTTTTTTAAGATTTTAAATGAATATCGACCCATTCACCACAATTCACTGCTTAAAATAAAACGAGTTACATAATCGTATTACTCCCTCTAAACTATTGGCATTAAAAACGCACAAAGAAATAAAGTATTAAACAAGTAAAACGGTTCCATGACAAACGATCTCGCACAGATTATCCCAGACAAGACAACCTCTTACTCTGGATATAACGAGAAAAATAAAAACAGGAAGTTTTTTGTTGTCGAAAAAAGTTTTGTCTAAGGGGTCATCCATAAATGACATCACGCTTTTTTTGACGAATTTTACCTCCCCCCCCCTCCCCTCCGTCACACGTCACAAATAGCCAGACTTCCCCTAAAATGACGTCACACTTCAGTCTACAACCCCCCGCCCCCTCAAAAAGGCTGTTAAATTTTTCTTAAATCATGGATATTTTTCCAAAATCTTGTCAGAACTATGTCAACATAGTCTTTTAATCAATTCCTATTACAATTTATTAAAACTGTTTTGTAAAACGTGAAATAACAGCTAAAACTCGTTTTCTAAGATTGCTTTATTATAATGCAAAAGTGTGACGTCACACCATCTGAACCCCCTCCCCTTCATCACACACCGTCACAAAATTACGGGCCCCCCTCCCCCCTAAGAGTGTGACGTCATTTATGGACGACCTTTAACAGTCTTTACACAAAGTTTGATTGATACCGCATTAAAGAAACTGAACTGTTTTTCTTTCTAGTAGATTTATTGTATGTGCAATTGTATATTTTCATTCCATGTGATTTTTTTGTCTGCATATAGAAAACTTAAATCATTAAAACAATTTAAAAATACAAGTATTTTCTTTAATATATTTATTTCCATGTTAGTGTGAAACATCTTTGTATTATATGCTCTCTAGGTTAAGAACTCTTTTTTAATAGGATTAAGTCGTTTTGGAAGTCCATTATCTGCGGATATTAACACAAAAATAAAGATTAAGTATATATAATAGCATGCATATGTTATGAAACAAAAAATTAAACTAAAAATATCACTAACAAAACATAAATCAAATATAAATAAAACAAATATTAAACAAACTCGAAGTCGAAGGTATCTGGAAAATGTGAACGAAATAGCTGAATTAGAAGTTGGTCAATATTGAATTACAAGATTTGCCACAAACCAACGAACGTGAACTAATTAAAAGCTTGTGAAAATGTAAACTATATTTTTGAATGAGCAATACTCGCCTAAGACTTAGTAACGAGAAAAAAGGGAGAAAATATTTCGTTCATTGACTTAAATATGTTTTTTAATATAACAATAAATACGAATACGTACGTATAAGGTTTAGCTTCTAACACATCAGCGTTTTATCCTCACAAGTACACTTTTGTTCAAATTTTCCACCTGAAAATAAAACATTAAACTACTTTGTTACATTATAAACTATAAATTTGTACCTGCATTTTTTTATTGAAAACTTTAGAATGATTTGAATAAAAATGATATTTGTACTTTTACGTGTATGTTTGTATAATGAAGAAAAGTCTACCGACTCAACAAAAAAAATATAATTTATGGAGAAAATATATAATTTAAACAGTGTCCGCCCCCTCCCCCCCCCCCCCCCAACCCCCGAAATGTTCAAGTCTGAAAGAAGCATTAGTCATAATTTCAATATGTAGAAGAGAGTAATTTTAATATCTGACCTGCATATGAGATTAAATAACAACAGCTAGCCCTAGTTGATTTTTTAAAACATGGGTCGATGCTAGAACAGTTCTTGGGTGTAGTCGGAGTATATGCGTCACAGAATTGTGGTGATCCATCCAAAAATGGTTCTGTTGTAGTTGTTGACACTGTAGTGGTAGTCAATACAACGGTGCAGTTGACTTTATAGTTGCATTTACACTGGTCGACCAATATTCCTTGAGTCAAGATAAACATACTTTTAAAGGTTTCAGCTTAGACTGGTGTATTTCATGAACACTACAGTCACACTAATGCAATATGTATATATATATATATATATATATATATATATATATATATATATATATATATATATATATATATATATATGTGTGTGTGTGTGTGTGTGTGTGTGTGTGTGTGTGTGTGTTTATTTATATAAGGAGATTTGAATTATTAAGATTACAATATATAATCCTCACACCATCACATTTTTAGTTCCAGCCCAAGAAACATGTTGCAGATGAAGTAGAGTTCATACGTTTTAAGGATTTCGACAGTGTGATCAGCACTACACCCAGCCTCATTTTGTTTCCCTAACGTGAATCAGGTACCCATCAAATGTATATAGACTCAAACCGGGATCCTAACTCGAGATTTGCGGGTTCAAGTCGAAAGTTCTACCATCCGACCACAAATTTCCTTTAAAATCATTTAGTGTTAATGTAATGAGGAACACTACACCAAACCAGTTTTAGCTTGCCTGGATATGTAAGAGATCCGTTTTTCAGGTGTCCTCATACCGTGTTCTAAACCTTATACATCTTTTACGACTTCGGCACTAGTAATACCCATCTCAAAATAAAATATCTCTAAGCATGTACTGCTCAATCTGCAGGTATTACAAAAATATTAAACTAATTCTGAAGTTGATATTATGTCATCCTAAATGTAACCTTTGGAAAACGTCTTATTTTAGATAAATGTTGAGTAATGATTTCGTTAAAAGACAAAAGTTAACTATGTAGGAAAAAACCAAGGTTATTTTTTTTTATCGGCCTACTTCTTTTAAAAATGTTATTACGTTGATAACATATAGGTTTATGGCTAACAAATGCGTCTCTAAAATTTATCCATTAATTAACTGAAATATTTTAGAAAATTAAAATCCTACCATTGTAAGTCGCGCGGTACATGCAGCACTCTGACCTTGACCCTGACCAGTAACAAGCAGACGGCTTGCAGTCGCTGAGACCCGCCACAGCAGACGGGCAGTAGATGGGCGTGGTGTAGTTGAAGCCTTTGGTCAGGTCGATGTTGATGGTCTGACCGCTGGAGAGGTTAGGACCTGACCAGGACAGGACAGCAACACACAGCAGGACAGCAAGGGACATCATTCTCCACAATTTTTTCTTCTAACAGAGTAACAGACTCTTGTCTTGGCTGCAGTGTTCCGATATTCGTTCAGTTCTCTTTTTATAGTTTCTAAGCGTAATTATGCACATAGCTCAACTGATTATTTTTCATTTTCAAGTGTTTACGCTTGCATAATTGTATTACGAGATGTATTTTTAAAGCTAATATACTTCAAAGAAGTACACGCCTATATCCTGGAATGTCGTTTATTCAATTCGGAAATTTTATTTTCTAAGTAAATTAATCAAAGTATTTCAAGCATTTTTTTTCCTTAAAAGCAATGTCGGTTTTCATTGGGTAAAGGTCAACGAATGAAGTCGGGAACTAGCTCAAGGTTGACCGTTACAGTGTTACCTCTATGGGTGGCCGTGTTTGATGAAAAGGTTAAATACACGGGTACATCTATTGAAATATGATATTGAAACACTTGTGTATAGAAAATATATAACGGCGGAAAATATAGAAAGTGCATTCAATGAAATGAATCAGGATGTAAAAATGTCTATTGCTATCGTTGTATTACTCCCAGTTTTAAGGGCAAAAAGGTCGTAGGCCTGCTAATAATATATGTTTTTAAATATAATATAATTAAAATTGAATGTTAACTTTATTGATGTAGATGTTCACGTTTTAACTATATTTCAAAACAGCTGTTTACGACTGATCCATTAAAGTTCATGTTTCTCTGATCTCGTGCGGGCTACCGAATGAATGCTCGGTCGTCTCAATTAAAATAAAATTATAGAAAACTAACGTATATATATATATATATATATATATATATATATATATATATATATATATATATATATATATATATCAGTACAACCAATACACATTAATTAACATCTAATTATTTTCTTTGTCTCTTAAGCAGGATTTACCTCACCATGCCACGAACAGTTTTCTTCTTTGTCAGATAAAATTATAACTTCTGTGAGGATATGTACGTTCATTTTTCTTCGTCTTCGTTCTAAATTTTTAGTTTTGGAAGGAATCCAGCTTTTTTTTTCGAATTTAAGAACCATGAGCTTTTAGCCGACTCGACCACGCCTCCATCACAATTAAGTATACGCGTCAACTGGTTATGCGCCATTGAGGCCATTGACTCTGATTTCAGCCTGCTTTTCTTTTTGGATTTGCTTCCATAGCAATTGTCCAACCAAGAACAAACAACAAGGCAGCAGTTGTTCCCTTTTAAAATCGGACCGCCCTTAGGGAAAGCTATTTTTTGTTTACTATCCCTAACGTGAGATAGGTATCCATCTGAACTGGGTGTGTTGGGGGGGGGGAGGAGGGTCTCAGGGACTTTCTACTGACTTGAACCAGGATTTGAACTCGAGACTTTCGAGTTTACTTTTGGCGCATTCTGACACCTTTTGTGTGACGGGTCATACTTTTTACAAATTCGCCACATGTGTTTTTTTTTTTAAATCAAACTGTTTAGTTGAAAACTTATCTGACATTTTAGAATTTAAAAAAAAAAATTAATATTTAGACTTTAGATTAAATGTTCTGTATGAAAAGTAAAATCTTATGCACATAGGGCAGTATTTGTCTGTTATCGGGCTGTCCACAAATATACCCACCCATAAACAATTATGTCACATACAAACTCTGTCCATTATATGTTTATGAAATGGAAGAAGTAAAAAAAACGTATTCATGAAACGCAGCTAACGTATTGTTAACAGGAATAGCATCACTGGTACAAACTTTATTTTACAAGATCTTATTTATTTTACTTTTCACTAAATCTAAAAAAAAAAATTTAAATAGCTACATATAACTAAAACAAAGAAAATCGTTGCAGAAATATAATATTTTATTGATAGAGTTGAACTTGAGATAATTATTTTGCAATCATCATACACAGATGTAAACTTGACATTGTTGACCTATTATGATACAAGTATATACATATCTAAAATATATTAATTACTTTTAACAGTGTTTTTAAGTTTAACCTAATACTTTAAATAGCAAAACCACAAATAATTTAAGTTAAAATTGTTTACAGAAACTTACTGTGTTTTTATTGAACACAAGGTACATCAGCTGTGCAGTGACATGTAGCTGTGACTGTCATATTTACCGTGACCAGTGCATTGTCTATGAAGGGGAAGAAAACGAATAAAAGCTTACATACAATAATATTATGTGTAGTATATACATGAATTTCAAAGTTAACGGAAAAGAGGGGTTTTACATATAGTTTTCATACAAGATGTCGAAACAATACAATATAATATCTGCTAGAAAGATATAAAGTGTGCTTTTACAGGGTTTAGTTCGTGTTGCGTAGAAGGTTGTCATCGTTTTCTTTCTCTTCTTCTTCTTCTTTGTTTTTAATTCCAGCACAATTAAGTATACGTGTAAAATGGTTATACGCCATTGAGGACTTCGATTTTAGCCTGCTTTTGTTTTTGGATTTGCTTCCATAGCCTTTGTCCAACCAAGAACAAACTACAAGACAGCAGTTGTTTGATTTTTGAGTTGTCTCTCCAAGAAGAGTGGCTGTCCCCAGCTAACGAGCCTCATCTGCCCGAGATCATTGTTTTCAATTATAGACATGTGAATCTGGTAATATTTAAATGACGTTACAAAACAAAGCGAAAGTATTTTTTCTGTAGAAAATTTGTCTGTGTGAGCTGTGGAAAGGACATTTCGACTACACGTCGTAAAAACAAAAACAAAACAAAAATTATATTAAATAATGATCATTATGATCATTATACGAGACGGGCATTAGTTACACTAAATTTCTAATGAAGAGGTTAGCTATTTATCAAGACATGTGAAATATCAACCCCCCCCCCCACCCCACCCCAGAGGAGAATACTCACTCGCCCAGGTCACCCTAGAACAGCAGCTGCTCCTGGTGGTCGAGTTCAAGCAAGCGTCGTGGTAGAGACAGCTTTTGATGTAAGTGGTCGCGTAGCTTGTCTCTGGGCAGTAAAGCGGAACGGTGTACACAAACGGCGCTGTTGTTGTCGCTGTTGTTGTTGATGTTACTACGCTACAGTTCACGTTGTTGTTGCACAGGCACTGGTCAAACAGTATCCCACTCGCTGTTATATAAAAGATAAAAGCTGTTATACATACCTTTTTCATTAGTTATTGCAGATATCAACAAGCATAGAAATATAGTATTTACTCAAACTATTAAACAGCTATAATCGTTTAATACGTTAGGTTTTAGAACTTCTGCAACATTTCTTTAAAGTATTTATGTATTGAAGATGATTGCTGAAGCGTAACGTGTAAACCCATTCTGGTGCACGGGAGGAACTAACAATTTTGCGCCCTCTTCATAGCTATTATCGTTGGCAAAAACGTGTACTCCCTCTACATAATTGATGTAGAAAACAGTTGAGTAAGACCATTAAGCCAAGTACAATATATTTTTTTGAAGCTTTAACTGTGTGTAATTCAGTAATGCATCGCAGAATGTGCTTTTAATTTTTTTCTACCCCGTTTCGTGCACCTTTATGCTCGCGCCCTACCCGCCTTCTCCCAGCTACGTCTCTGGTTTAGAGGTAGTAATCAGAGTTTCTTCCAGGCATCTCTTCGGGGGGGCGAAGCCCCCCCGAAAAATTTTTACCGCCCCCCCGAACAGAATGAAATTTATATAATTTATATAGAAAATATATACTTTTAACAGTGTCCGCCCCCCCGAAGAAAGTTTACCGCCCCCCCCGAAAATTTCCAGTGCCCCCCCGGAGAAAAAAGTCTGGAAGAAACACTGGTAGCAATTGACCTAATAGAGGTAGCAATTGACCTAATAAACTGTTAGGTAGTTTTTGTTTAATTGTATTTTTATCTTAAATTCATTTTAGTATGCTTTTAATGATGTTATTTAGATTTTTTTTCCAATAATTAGAAACCAAGTAATTATATATATATATATATATATATATATATATATATATATATATATATATATATATATATATATATATATATATATATATATATATATATATATATATATATATATATATATATATATATTTCACAACTAAATGTTTACAATGTACCTGAATGACTTGTTAGACACTTAACTGTTTGATTGGGTTCGAAACAAACTTTAAGTGTATATATAACATTGGTATCATTAACCTTTTATATCTTACCTGATGTGTTCCGGTACATACAACACTGTGACCTTGACCCTGACCAGTAGCAGGCCGACGGCTTACATACGGTCAACCCACTGACCGCAGCGCTGCAGTAGATGGGCGTGGTGTAATTAACGCCCTGACTCAAGTCGACGTTAATTAACTGACCCGTGCTTAGCTGCGGGGCTGACCACCACACGGCCGCTACACACATCAGACCAACACTAACCATGGACATCATCCTCACAACTCTACAGGTTCTGACGCTAAATCCTTATGCAATAGCAAACCTGTAGTCTTTCTATTTGTAATGATTCCTTTTTATACTGTTTTTCGTTCTGTTTGGTTTTTCTATACACACATTAAAATATAGAGGCTTGCTGACATTGTTTGCATGAACGTATGTACCGTATCAAGGTGTACTCTTTAAAAATATATATTCACGTTTTAAGGAGAGTAAATATTTTTAAAATGAACTATTACCTTTTTTTTCTCGTATGATTTTTATAACATCAAAGGACATATTGCATTTGCTATTGACGTTACGACATCGGTGATAGCCCTGTTGTCAAGGAATGTTTTCTTAAACTTCATGCGGTAGTACAGTGGTGTGTATAAAATCCTGCTTAACAGGGGCGTAGAAACACATTTAATCGCCCGCTCTATGTTTACAAAAATAAAAATACTATTACATTTTGTTCTCTTTGAATGAAGTATTAAATTCAGTGACCAACATCTTTTGCATTAATGTTAAAGTTATTGTTACTAAGCATCCATTTTAAAATCATACGTTCATAATTTTATGTATTTTAAACAAATAATATTTCATTGTACAGATTTTATAAAAAATATGATTTTAATAAAATCTTTAAAAATGCTATATTTGATCCCCTTTATGTCTTACTCTTTCAGCAGTGTTTCTTCAAGACTTTTTTCTCCGGTGGTGCACTTCAAATTTTTGGGGTGTGGGAGGGGGGGTGGGGTGGACTCAAATTTCCGGGAAGGGGGGGGGGGGTCGGACACTGTTAAAAGTATATATTTTCTATACAAATTCCATTTTGTTCGGGGGAGGGGGCGATAAACTTTCTTTGCCCCCCCCCCGCCCCCCCCCCCCCCCCCCCCCGGAAGAGATGTCTGGAAGAAACTGTCTTTGAGTCTCACTCTTATATTTTGCTACGTGTAGTGCAAAATTTTAATTACGCTCATCTTTATTTCAAATAAACATGTCATAAGAATAGTCACGCATTGATTGTTTATAGGAAGAAAGATTGTTTCTTCTACACAATTGGTTGTAGTACATATAACTAAATAAAAAAACACAAATATAGACATAAATTTGTTTCTAATTATTTTTATTTTATTTTAAATGTAATTTGATACACAATTACTTTTTAAATGTATCTATAATTTATGAAGTTTCATAAAAAAAAAGGTTGGATCCTTGTTGACGTCTATTTTCTGTGGATAAATAAAATAAACTTTAAAATTATACAATACAATAAGGATACTTATGGAAAAGCAGCACCTCAACTAAAAAGTAAATATATCAAGCGAAATATGTTAAATTACGATCTTAAAGTCTGACATTAACTCAATAAAGTTGAACATTAGAGAGGAGAAGCAGATCAATAACTATGTCCCAGAAATTCGATCTGAAAATAGCATTATACACAAATCGCTTCTGTTAACATTTGTTTTAATGTTGCTTTCTTTGCGTGTAAGCCATAATTGTTATAATTAAACCTACCAGACCTATCTCACAATCAGAGAGCTCTACTGCCTTTTCATGCATTTAATTAACCCCCTGAAATACATCGCTCAGCGTATTTTAAACAGCTTCAGAGTAAGTGATTCTATTGGCTAAAATTATATTTTTAAAAAAGTACTGAATTAGTTCAAGGTTGTCCGTTCTAGAGTTACCAGTGATGAAACGTTTTGAAACATGATATGTCGATTGAAGTGTAAAGAGTACACTGCGTGACGAATAATAAAAATGAACCAAGGAAAGTAAAATCATATTTCAGTTTTATTAGATCCTGTTTAGAAGAGGGGAAAGTCATGACCATTTCACAAACATACCTCAGAACCTTGAATTAAAACTGTGTGTCAATTTTATATATCTATCAATCTCTGTAATAAAATACACAGTCATACTTTTCTAACTATAAGTATAACAAGCGGATTATATCAAGGCTTATCCTCGCTAACTAAATGGCAGTTCAGAGCTAACAATACGTTGGATTTAGCTGTGAAATAGATGTTAAATATATGTTAAAGAAGAATAGACACACATTTACTTCATCAAAGAGCATGAACGATCACACTGAAAAAAAAACTGAACACATTCTTGTTTACTTCTTTTAATATTTTTTAATCAGAGTTTACAATATTTACTGCTAAAGTTAAAAAATCGGGGTAATTGTAATTTAGTCCAAGTCAAGCCATGAAACTGAGGAAAAATATTATGTGTATATCAATTTAAAATGTGGTAATAGTTTGTTTCTAAACTATACTTAGTATAATTAGTGTAGCTATTGAAATTGCAAAAAAAAAAAATTAAGACTATTTTGAGACAATTATCACAAGATATTCCATAATGCTTAGAAATGTATTTAGTTTTTCGTTTCAATAATATGCATTATAACGTAATGATCTTAACTCAGCAGCTACCTTCACTTTCTCCCACCCCACCTCCGTCTTAAAACTCATTTCGTGTCTTTGGATATGCATATACATTACCGGCTTACTATCTCTAAAGAAACTGTTTAAAAATGATACAATTATTAATAATATTTTTTTTACGAATCAACTCACGATGTGCTCTCAGCAGGTTACTGTGCTCTGGCACCAACACTGAGGATCGAATCCAACGGCTGATATCGCCGTCACATCTGAAAGACAAGTATGCATTGATTTAACATCTGACAATTGTATTGCACTAATACCATTGTAAAAATCACTAGCCACAGATTTCTGTAATGATAAGTTAATCCCTAACGTTCCGATAATAGGTTTAATTTTTTAAAATCTCGGCCTGCGTGTGATAGGTTGCCACTACCATTTAAAATTCACCGATGACCATCAATACACAGATGACATAGCTGTTAGATGACACAATCGACGAAACGCCTCTGAGCGATTTTACAGCTTTTATGAGCTTTTGTTTAATTCACAATGATGTAGTCTCATTAAGTATCTTATATACTTTACATTTTTTTTAAAACGAGTTCTGTTTCATTATGTTTTAAAATCAAAATGCATTTAAAAATGTATTATGCTGTTTATACTTGTTTTATTAATCGTGTAAAAATCCACAATGACATGTGTACTATTATATAAGCTCTCATTTCACAAACTAAAAAGAGACACCCACTATATATACTTTACATTTTTTTTAAACGAGTTCTGTTTCATTATGTTTTAAAATCAAAATGCATTTAAAAATGTATTATGCTGTTTATACTTGTTTTATTAATCGTGTAAAAATCCACAATGACATGTGTACTATTATATAAGCTCTCATTTCACAAACTAAAAAGAGACACCCACTATCCAAGACGACAAAAAAAAACTTTTCTGCAATCCGATATAGCTACCGTAAAGCTTGCTACTTTATTGTGTAATTATTTAGGCCTACATGAATTTCTTTACACACAGATGCGCGTAGAACCCAACAAATATAATACAAACACACCATGTTTCGAGTTTTATAAATATTTATCCGTCTGATTGTTCATTAATATTTTTAAAATTTAAACATTTAAGAATGGATTATTGTGACCTATATTCGATAACAAACATTTTAAAATATTCGAGCAAGAATATCTTTCGTCAGACGATTCTCTATTATATCTATAAATAATTAAAAGTGTTAACAAATCTAGATTCGTGAACATGTTAGGACTTACATCCTCCAGGGGTACGAAAACAACATTTGCTTCTGGTCGAGGCGAGGAAACACTGGTCGTACTGGGCACATCGTTTGGTCAATGTTGTCAGGCTATCAGATGTACAGTAAACAGGATCGGTGCTCCCCGTGTCTGTTGTTGCCTGGCAACCGACTTTGTCGCTACATTTGCACTGGTCATATATTATTCCGCTGGCTGTTGGAGATATAAAGGATCAATGCAAATACGATGTAAATAGAACTGTTGTAACAGGAATTCATATTACTTTCGACGTATCCATTCTGTTACAAATTTAAAACAAACACAAACTTAAATTTATATTTTTGAGCAAACAAAACTCTTACAACTTGTTGAACGTTTCATGCAGCATTCAGATCTAGACCCAGACCAGTAGCAAGCCCCAGGCCTACAGTCGTATATGAACGTAAAAGTGTCGTTGCAGTAGAGCGGCTGGGAGTAGTTGGTCCCTTGGCTGTAATTAAGTGTAATCAGCTGACCAGTGGTTGGTTTAAGCACTGACCAGAATAAAACCGCTACACTAACCAAGCTGACAATTGACATAGAAAACATTTTTTCGACTCCACGCTTCATCAAGCACCACACTAAACTAGGATTCTCTGCCTTGAGAATACCGCTATATATAGGCCTACCTTTTCACAATATATATTTTAAATACCATCTTTTTTTAAAAAGTGTTTGCTTAGACCGACTAAATTAAGATTGTCATACCACCATCGCCACTTATTAAATATGACTGACCTGGTAACGACTTATACTGGATATTTGTTTGTGGCTATTAAACCTGAAGGGAATTCCAAAAATTCAAATAATTCGGTGCAGAAGAAGGCCTGCCTACATTTACACACACCAAAGTTTTTATGAACCATACCTCATCGCCCATAGTAAATTTGCTATTTACTGAAGACCATATACCGTATTGTGCGGATAAAAAGAAAAAGTGTATGTTTAAAACTTAAACTGTGCAGTTAATTACTTAGAAAGAAGATATGTATTTGGGCATAATTCTTAAAGTACAGTGGTTAGAAGTAGCAGTGGCGTCGCTAAGGCGAGTGTCACCCGGTGCTGCACTTCGGGGTATCACCCCCCCCAAGAAACATATATATATATATATATATATATATATATATATATATATATATATATATATATATATATATAGGCCCTATAGGCCTACATAGACGTAATAGTAACGATGTTTATCTATAGTCTGTTGATAATACAGTTGGATGTAGCACTGTTTTCTCTAAAGTTACCACGTTTACGTCATGGTGTCACCCTCACTCTCTTGTAATAATTGTCAATGTGTATTAAAAAGACTATTTAACTTTAATTTATCATTAATGGAACTGGAAAACAAGGATTTTCTTTTGTACATTTAGCAATTTTTTGCCATGGTGTCACCCCGTTAAAAGGTCCGCACCCCTGCCCCGACCTCACTACGCCTCCGTGAAGTAGGCCTATAAAACGAACAGAAAACTAAAATATTTGGAAGATTGTATCTTTTTTTCTTATGATACAACCAAAATGACAAATGTATGCTAAACTATTGTTCTAAATATCGTCAGGATAATGCAAAGTCATCTACTCAAATGTGTAAAATCCCAAATTAACGAGTTACTTTTCAAAGATCACAAAACAAATGTGTATTAAAATCGATATTTATTGTTAAATAAATGGTGCGACGTGGCGGTATGTTAGCGCGTGGGACTGTTAACTCCACAGTCTTGCGTTATAATTCCTGTCCGAAATAGGTCGCATATTTGATAGAAACCAGATTTTTCGTTGTGAAGGTAAATGCAGCTAGGCATACTGCTGACCACACGATATATTCATATCAAGTGGATACACAAACAGATTAACTCCACTTCATCTGCAGCTTTGATCACCATTTTCGAAAATAGAAGAGAATATACTTAAGTGTTAAAAGTATGATTTTTTTTTAATTTTTTTTTTTTTTTTTTTTTTTTTTGCTTTTAGACATAGTACTCTTTACATTATATAATCGTTACAAGTTTTAGTTAAATTATTAAAACAGTTGATACCAATTTAACGTTTACACAGTGAAATTAAATAGAAAGCTCTGAGAAGATGTTTGTGGAACTTAGATCCAAATACGCCTGCATGGATCTCGGACCCGCAACTATTAAAATGAATGTCAAATAATACTTCAAATTATTTAACTGATTTGTTTTAGTATTACATTCAAATTTATAAAGAACTTCAACTTGATAAAATAATATAATATTAACATATTAGTTTCTGTCAAACGGCCTTCCGGCAAGCGGCTTTCTGGCATTTGTCGCATTCCGGTAAGTGTATATCGAGGAAGACGTCCAGCTGTCATATATTCGTATGTTTGAGAAAATAAAATGTAGAACTCTTGGTCCATCTTTTTCCCTGTTTATTTTTTGATATGTACTAATAGAAGCATTAATTGTTTATAGTTATTTCTCGTTCCCTGGAGTTTTTAACTGTTGCAACAATTACATTGCACTACTAGTACTTTTAGTAAAAAAATTGTAATCACTTTTAAAATGGTAATAATTTCTGACGGTAAAAGACCTAAAGTAAAAATGTATTTTTTTTCTCATGATTCAATGAAGACAGCACACTGTATTCCAGCATTTATCTGCTGTATCTATGGTTAACTAAAATAAGCTCTTTATTATAGTTATTGTTTTAACAAGTGTGTCAGTACCCAATATGGCATTGTATTTGTTATAACAGTTATAACAGATGCACTTGTGATGATGCCCATGTTGACTAATTTCAAGTTTCTTCAAACATGCTTGCGGATTTCAAGCAACTGACATTAATTTTTAACTGTCATTTGAAAGAGAAAATTAGACCCGATAAGAGATAGCAACTTTAAAAAATATAGTGCAATTACTTGTGAGACTGCATTGTCGTATGGTACAGTGTTCGACTGCTAATTAGGAAGTCTTGAGATTGTCTTTAATTTCAGCCAGCTCCTACAGGTGCCTTACTTACTTAAGAGAATATAATGGCGGATAAGCCTAGTGCTGAACACACGATCGCATGAACAGGTGGAGTTGTTGAAAAAGGTAACTTAAATTCATTAAATCAGCGAATAGGAATTCTCATAACAAAAGATAAATCTGCCGGTCTGTTTATTTTTACCAGAAAAGACGTAAACTACAGAGGAAAACATTTCCAAAAAAACATCATCAAATGAACAAATGAAATGTAGTTCTTGACAACATCGTGTTTGCGAATTTTTTTACAGTTCGTTCAGTTTTTTTTTTAATTTTAGTGCTATAATAGCACAACTTTTCTGAAAACAATGGCAGATACTTCCTATGCCCTTCACTCTGCATACGTTACTGAGCAATGCTAAACACGCAAGCTTCAACAAAGTTAAATAAACAACTATGTCAAAAATAACACGCTAAATTTATTAAAAAGAATCAGTAAATTACAGGAAAAAATATCCGTTTAGTCCAATTATACTTAGACTATACGAATAAAGGTTAATAGAGCTAATATATATATTTAAATGAATTTCAGTTGGGTTCTTCGACACAGCATAGGAACCCTGCTTTCTGATGGGGCATGGTGAGAACCTGAGGCAAATAAATGATATTCACATTGTATAGATATTTAGCAAACATGTCATAACTTATTTTAATATTTCATAAATATATAAATAAATATATTTAAATATACACACTCATATATACATATATACAGTGGCGTAGTGAGGTCAGGTGTCACCCGGTGCGGCACTTAATGGTGTCACACCCCCAGAGGCGTAGCGACCCTTCCCGGGGACAAACTTTCAAAATTTCGTTTTGCACCCCCCCCCCCCTCAAACTTTCGATTTCCACCCCCTCCTCTAGTTTTCGATTTGCAACCCCCGCCCCCCCCCCCCCCCCCCCCACCTCAAACTTTCGATTTGCTACCCCACTCAAGTTTTTCTCTATATATTTTGCTATTTTTTGCCTTTGTGTCACCCTCTTAAATGGTGTCACCCGGTGCGGTCCACACACCCCGCCCCCCCCCCTCGCTACGCCTCTGCATATATGTATGTATATATATATATATATATATATATATATATATATATATAGAGAGAGAGAGAGAGAGAGAGAGAGAGAGAGAGAGAGAGAGAGAGAAAGAGAGACAGAGAGCCAGAGAAAAAGAGAGACAGAGAAAGCGAGTTAGAGAGAGATTTACTGCAGCCTGTTTTATGAGTATAAAATAACACAACATATGAAAACAAATAAAGACATAAGCAAAGCGAGTGAATACTTACCTAGAGACACTGAACTTCTCCAGAGCAGAAGCATTGAGGTTCTACGCCCCAAAATTTTAATACGTCTTGTGGGTCATCAGATAACGGTATAGTAACATCTAAAGGGAACAATCAAACGAAGTAAAGCAAAATCGCTAAAAACATTAATTAAGGAAACAATAAATTTTAAAATATGATTTACAACTACACTAATGCAAGGGAGCAGGTAGGGACTGTCTGTGTCCAAAAAGCCCGGGACATTTTAAAAGAGGACCCCCAATCCTAGAAATTCAATGTCATTTTGTACTCCCCCCCCCCCCCCCATAACATTGGATTCTACTTTATTGCTGAGGAATCATAAAAAGGAAATATGCAGCTTTTAAAAAAAATAAATCACTAATAGGCCTATTACATGAATGGTACTGACCGAATTATATCCGTATATGTTGAGGTCATGAAGCAAATGAACTCTACTTCATTTGTCTCATGAGTCTTTGAAAAGATAATGAGGATGCTTGTATTTCTTTAAAGAAGAGTCACTATTCTATTTTCACTTTAGTTTTCCCACCCTTTCCCCTTACACAGATCACAAACATTCAGAGTAGCTTAGACCTTTTAAAATTGGAACTTTACGTTTTGAAATAACTATTTAATTCTAAAATACTACTTTAGTTAACTTATATTTAGTAATTTTTTTATTACAACATGAAAAAAAAACAACTTCCGGATGATAGTACGATCCCACACATGTCATTTATAAACATTCTAGTAAACTTACCTTTTCCCGACAGTCGAGAGCAACATTTGCTTCTTGTTGTTGAATAGAAACACGAGTCTTGGCGTTCACAAAGTTTATATGCATCAGCTTGCACATTGGCTGTACAATACAGGGGTTCGTTCGCATAATAAGCTTTTGGAGTAGTGGTTGGCGTGGTCGTGGTCGAGGTAGTTGTGGCTGTTGTTGTCGTGGTAACTGGACAGCTAACTTTGCTGCTGCATTTGCATTGATCAAACGTTGTGCCGCTTGCTAAAATAATGTATTAGTTATGAAGCATATCCCGTTTGAAATAAAGCTGGTAAGTAGGTCACCAATCAGTTATATGGCTCATGCAGGTTTTATTGAGCCGTAGAATTGGTTGGTGATCTACTTACCAGCCCTATTGAAAGGAGCTACTTGCAAATTTATTACACAAATAGTTATAGAATTTTAATAAATTTTAATATCAAATGGAAATCCATGAACCTCTATTTAACATCCTACAAAAATTTAAAAAAAAAACATTGACTTTAAAATAAAATTTCATTAAATTATTTAGCATACATTGTGTTTATTGAATTTCAATAATTCTTTTTATGTGTATGCCAAAATTTTTTTTTTTTTTCAGTTTTGGTAAAATACACATTAATTGATTTTTTAGATGTTATTTTAAACGGTAAACTCGTTTTATAACTTATATTGTGTTACCTGTTTTGTCTTTGTACATGCAGCACTCTGACCTTGACCCTGACCAGTAGCAGGCTGAAGGCTTACAGTTGAAATAGCTAGGCACGGCAGCAGAGCAGTAGATCGGGGTGCTATATATGAAGCCCTTGTTTAGGTCCACTTCAATTAGCTGACCAATGCTTGCATTAGGGGCTGACCACAACATCATTACAACACAGACCAATGCGACTTGAGGAGTGTACATCATTTTTGGATGAGCCAGTTTGTCTCACAGTTAGAACTTCTCGAAAATGTTAGTGTAGTTTTAAGTTGTAGATAGCTTATATATATATAGGCCTACCTTCTTCACTTGCTTTTGATGAGGTTTTCTAAATTTAATGAGTTTGCTTTTGGAGCAGTTCAAATGTTATTGTAACTTGTTATAATAGCTGATAAAGTGACGTCTTTCAATTGAAACGTCTTTTGATGTCTTGAAGAAACATTAAAATTTACATTATTATTCAAAATATATTCTTATACAAGCAGAGCCGAAACACACACCATTTCATTGGATAAAAATTTGACGGAAAAATTAAACCAAAAGTGAAATTGAAACGTATTTTTAAGTCTAGTGGCTGAGAAAAAAAACCTGAATATGTCAAGGATCCATCACTGTTGTTTAAACACTGACGCTTCCTGGTTGGTTAGAATGCATTCCATATGCCGTCGCGAACTGTGGACCATAAACCTCTAACGCTATAATTATTTTTTTATTTTAGTTTCTGGATACTTTCTTTACAACAATGTGAGTGTATTTAATATTTTCTTCACGTTTCTTGACGTATGCAAAAGACTGAAAGCTTTGCCAAAGATCAAGAAATTTAAGTCCTTACATAAATAGAACCTAGTACAAGTAAAAAGCAAGGCATTTGTTGTTGTTTACTTTTATGGTTTTAGAATCTATAACGATGACAGACGGAAGGACTGATACACTACCAGCCCGCTTATATTATAGATAATTAAATTTAAAATGCTGGCCTTCATGTGAAATAAATAACATTGACTAACAATTCTTTTTAATTTTTTTTTTTAAATTATAGTGTTTGTAAAAATGATATCAAATATTTATTGTACATATATTCAAGTTTAGACTACAGTACATTTCATGTGCCAAAAGCGCAGGGTTGCTCATAAATTATTTTAACAAATCTTAAGGTGTTTGATGCTTGTCTGTTTTAAGGTTACCCCTATATGCGCAGTCACAACAGCCGCCCCTTCCCCCTCCACAAATCTAAGCCAACCCGTTTGCCATTAATACATTTTTTAAATTCGATGATAAATTAAAATACTTTTCCAAATTGTTTATTTGGGAAACGCGTATTTTATTATAGTGAAAAGTGTAAAGCAAGTATCGTTTGATTCTTCAGTATTTATTTGTTACTTTTTGCAAAAAAAGATATATATGTTTGAATAATTTTTTAATGTAGAGCATGGGTGGGCAAAGTGCGGGCCGCGGGTAAATGCGGCCCGCCACATAGTTTTTTGTTGCCCGCCAGACATTTAGAAACAGTGTTTCTTCCAGACTTTTATCTCGGGGGGGGGGGGGGGGGGGGGCACTTAAAATTTTCGGGGGGGGGGCGGTAGACTTTCTTCGGCGATGGGGGGGGGGGGGAGGGCGGACACTGTTAAAAGAGATGCCTGGAAGAAACTCTGTTTAGAAAACCCCGACTAGAATTGAGATTTGCTTCATGTCCGCGACCGAAATTTCGTCTTGTATTTTTCCATTAGATCGGCTATCTGCATGCGCAGGTAGTGAAAATACGCACTTTTCCGGTTTGTTAGTTTTATTTTATATGCAACAGAACAATTTTAAAATTTCCAAATTAAGTGAAGCCATGAATTCTCAGAAGAAGCGCAACATTGGTGATGAAGAATTGACACACACATATTTCTTTGGTAACACAGGCAAATTTATATTTATTGATTTTATTATACCATTTATAATTTTTCTGAAATGAAATGTAATGTTAAATAAAGAATACAATCATTTTAAATGGTGCGGCCCTCCGCTAAAATCCGCTACCACAAAGTGGCGCTTGAGCCAAAACAAATGCCCAGCCCTGACGTAGAGTACAAGTTTTAAGCTGTGGAAAGAAAGTTCTCAAAAAAAATTCTTAAAAATTATTCTTTATAAAATGCACCAAGCATTTGCAAAGTTTTAATAATCGTTAATATTCCAACTAGCTCCTCATTAACTAACAAACAATAATATTTCGACACAAAGTTTGCAACATGTAGGCTATGTTCTGTTTATTAACTATAAGGTAGGTTTAAAGAGATATTGGTTTCTTTTTTTTAATACATTCAATGTTTTTACATCACACAATAATTACACAAAGAAAATAATATATAAAGACTCTCCAGCGATCCTTTACTGGTTAGCATTGGACATCTCCCGAACAAAAGCATTCTATATCTAAAGCTGAAAATCCGTAGAATCCTCCTAAACCATCTTGTCTTTCTTGGTCTAAACAGCAAATAATATATATGAGATAACTAAATGAATTTTACAACATAAATCACAATACATCTGTTTCAGCAAGGATATCACACATGCTGTAATATTCATTAAAAGTTAACTAATTAATTATTTCTACACATGCTAATGTACAAACTGAACAAAAAATAAACATAAGCAACAAAATCTGGAGCTTATATATCATTTAAATAAATCATATTGGCTACTAGATCTAGAAACACACTTTCAAAATAACAAAATGCATTATTTTGACATTAGATCCATTTAATTTGTATTCTTTTTTTAGCACAATGACATGTACTCTATATGTTTACGTTATTGTATATGTCATTAAAATCATTCAGCACTATTTCAGATTTTAGATGGATATGTATAGGCATTATATCAACCACATATTTTATTCATGCTGTTCTGGTGAATAGAGTGTTTGCTGTCAATACATGTGTGTTTTTGATGGGAAAGTAAAAGCGGCCTGGCATGGGTGCTGATCACACTATCCCCCAGCAAGCCAAAGTCATTTAGATTGCTACGCTCTACTATATCTGCCCCATATGTCTTGGGCACCAACGGTTATAGATAATGATGACTTTTCCTTGGCAATTATGAAACGACAGATCTTAATTATTAAATTTAAAAAAAAAAACAAAAAAAACAAATGATTCTGAATATATTTATATAATTTTATGCATCTATTTACTTTTTAAATTTTTTATGTTTAATCTGGTATATTTTTTTCGTTTATTAATGAAAAGAGTGCGATTTAATATAGCATAGTATAAAGAAAACATAAATCAACATTATTAATATGGAAAAAGAAACCTACTTATCCTCATTATTCTGGAGCAACATTTGCTCCGTGTGGACGCCATAAAACACTGGTCCATGGTTGGACAAAGTTTGGGTGCTGATGTCTGAATGGGTCCTGTACAGTACTGGGGTTCTGACGTAAAATAGTCGGATGTCGTTGTTGTAGGGGTGATTGTTGACGTGGATGCCGTAGTTGTAGGTATGGCAGTTGTGGTGGTAGCTACAACGGAGCAGACAACCCTACTGCTACATTTACATTGGTCGATAGTTGCGCCGCTTGCTAAAGGAGTAAAGTGAAACAGTATAATCTATAACGTTCTACAATAAAACTATCATAATTAATGTTGACTTTAGTCATGTAGTGCTCTCTCTCTCTGTATATATATATATATATATATATATATATATATATATATATATATATATATATATATATATATATACATTTTTATTTAAATATATTGATTTATATAGTTAGTTGTTTTGATCCCTATAAGTATATATATATATATATATATATTATTTGTGTATTAATTTAAATTACATTATATTACTGTTAAAATTCTACATTAAAAATATTATGAAATAGAATGTGAAGAGATAGTTAATACTTAAAAAAACTTTAGCTAATAATGCTTTACTATTATACTTACATGCAGAGTTTAATTATAATAAAAAAAGTTTTACTTTTAAAACAACTTTTGTTTCTGAAATTGATGTATCTAACATTAATTTGTATATTGAGTTAGGCGTTTATATTTCAATCTTACCTAGTTTAGACCGGTACATGCAGCACTCTGATCTGAAATCAGACAGGTAACAGGCTGAAGGCCTACAAATGTTGTAGCTAGGAACATCAGTAGAACAGTATATAGGTGTGCTGTAGTACGTGCCCGTACCGATCAGCTGACCACTGCTAGTCTGGGGTGACCACATCATCAGGTAAACACACAGCACGGCAACCTTCGTGAAAGACAGCATTTTATGATAACTTAGAGTTGTTGCTTATTGTAAACTTTGAATTGAATAGCTGTAATGGCTAATCTGAACAGAAAATCTGTTTTTGCATTTATACTTTTCTTAACTGCCCTAAAGGCATACATTACACGTCCTGTTTGCTTAATGGCGAGTCAATATGGTTTAAAGCAGTAATTGTTTGTACTAGTTTATCATTAAGTGACGTCTCCATTATCCGGTTATAAAATGTAATCGTTTTTTTTTTCTCATCAGAAATTTTCAAAAAAAAGATTGGCAGTAACTGTCCTGAAGTAGGGCTATTTTAATTCTGGGTAAACATGGTCGGCAGGTTTAAAATACAACGGGTGCATGGTAGGTGCACGTTTGTATCTTCAAAGCTGTTTGATGTTGGTCGATAGGTGGACATTGGCCTTGCTATTAGCATTGTGAAATAAACTCAGTAACTTTCTACATCGTAAATGACGCTTTCTACTATTATATAAAATAGAAAAAAAAACTATTAATTTATATTACATAATAGTTGCTTTAAAACAATGATGTTTTTATTTAAAAAATCAATATTTAGCATCTTAATCAAAACAGCGTGGTCGAGTTGTTGAGCGCTCGATTGCAACATGATGTTTCTCGAGTTTGTTTTCCAGACATGAGACATATTGGGTTTTTAGATAAATTAAAAGTTCCCTTTGAATACGGACTGTCTATCGGACAAGTGAAGTAGAGCTCACTTGTTTCTGTGATCTCGGCATATGAGTTAGGTACCCATCAGAGCTGGGTGGACTCAGGCACGGCCTACTGACTTGAACCCGGATTCAAACTCGAGACTTACGGGTAAACAGCCCAGCTCTCTCCGTTCCTTAGCTAAATTTGGAGAAAGTAAAACGTGCTGGGTATTTAGCAATACAATTTAGTGATAATGTAACCGTCATTTGAGCGTAGCAATGGCAGATGTATTTCTTACACCTAGAATCATAGTTTGAGAACTATTTAATAGCCAGAACCCTACTTTTTTCCGTTTCTGCCAAGTCACATGGGTAAGATGAAGAAGTTTTCATGTGCTTCAGATACCTCGGTATTTAAAGGGATAGTGTGGTCAGCACTAAGCCCAGCAACCTTTTGTTTCTCATCAGAGCTGTATGGACACAGGAACATTCGACTGACTTGAACCCGGATTCGAACTCGAGACTTAATGGTTAGCAGTCAAGCTCTCTACCGCCAGGCCACGCCGTTCCATAGTAGTCAGAATGCCCACACAACTTGGCAACACACAGCAGGATAACAAAACCTACTATTATCACGTTGTCGACTCTACTTCCTCTCTAAAAATCTCCGAATATGACTACCTCTAGTTTACTATTCCCTTATTATGTAACATCAGTAGTACACTGCTACACGGTTGAACACAAGCCACCAGCTTTGTATGTACCTTACATTAGATTGTGTGTAGGCCTACTTGAAACATCCTGTCACATATAACCTAGAGTTTAACACTCATTTGCATCACTCTAACTCTTTAGTTATATCTTTTGATCGATGCATTTTACTGCTGAGAAAGGCATTTTTTTTAGCAATATTTTCTATATGCAATAAAACAACGATCATTCGTCCGTAAAATTATTTGTCATGAGATCATTTGTCCGTAAAATTATGTGTCATGAGATCATTTGTCCGTAAAATTATTTGTCATGAGATCATTTGTCCGTAAAATTATTTGTCATGAGATCATTTGTCCGTAGGCTCTTCATTATATTTTCCCGTTCGCGCCCAAAACACATGGGGGCAGATGAAGTAACTGATTCAGTGACCTCGGCATGTGAATGTAAAGTGTGGTCAGCACTAAGCTATAGATTATAATATAACCTTTTACTAGTGTGCCCCCAACCATCAGAATTTTCAAATGGCCAATCCCCCTCCCCCCACCTAAAAAAATGTCTAAAATCAAGCCTTATTTTAAAAATACAGCTTATATCAACGCATCTTCTCCTCCAGAACAAGTCCACCCACACCCTACCCCCACCCTGACAAAATTTTTTAAAAATATTTGTCTTAAAAAATTGAATCTTTACAGCGATCTTTTTTTTTATAGTTTTATATTTTTTTATATATTCATATTTGATGAACACAAAGCCACGGTATTAACATTTGTTATCGCCTACATTTCAACATTTTGTTTCACGATTACTTTTGACACTCCTGCAAATGCATGCCTTTTAATTTTGACCAATGCTATTTCAAATGCCAGTTGAGTTTTTTTTTTTCCTCCAATCATTCGTCATATAAAAAGCTAGAATAGATTTTAAATCGTGTGGCATTCTATCATTTATTTCTGTTCAGGTTTAGTTTTCACTGCTCAATTCCGCAAGTGGGCATGCGTGATTTTGATGATTGTTTAGAAAGTAATTTTTTCTGTCTTCTTATCATGTTAAACCTTATTAATGTTATATGACTTTGAATAATACTGTAAACATTTCTCTTTAAACATGTCTCTGCTTACATAATAAGTTTGGATATTCTTTAGCGTGCCCAGCAGCTAAAATGGAAAATACTTTGTGGAAAAATGCCCCTCACGTTGCGTGTGAGTTTGAATCATCTAATACGGAATGGCGCGTATATACACTGGCTACTATATTGTATTACAGTGAATAGTTGTGTTTTATGTTTATAAAACAGGATACATGTTTTTGTTACAATATAATATTTAAATAATGTAAAATGTATTACTAAATTATTTGAGTACAGTATACAGCCGGAAAACAACAACTCATATACAGAAAAACGCGTATTATATGTATAAAATATATTTATTGATGAATAGAGTAAAACAGAGCGAATATTTTGGGAAAGAAATCTCTAAAGCTTTCAAACCTAGTTTTTAACGAAGTCCACCTGAAAATATAAATTGGTCATATAGAGATACAGGATTAACATATCAAACGGCACTATATTTATTTCTATTGTATATTGATGTAACCCGAATTAAGTTGTATCAATGTGTAAATCATGGACTTAATTAACATAATGGATGAATTCAATCTACATTCAAACTATTTTTTTTTAATTAATCTCTAATGCATAGACACATTTAGCAATTAATTGTGCATGGTTTCGCTTAACAATTTTAAACACTCAATAATACATTTTAAACATCATTTTAAATTAAAATATATACAATAAACGTCAGTTAAAACCACTGATATTAAACATGTACTATAAAATACAAGTAAGAGGGGGTGGGCATATCAGCAGTGTAAACATTAAATATATTCGTAATTGTTTTAGCTAAAAAAATCTTACTTTTTCTTTGCAAAAGAAAGTGTGGTGATTTTTAAATATAAGTGTAAAGTAAAGTTCTCCTTCCACACCTGACAGTCTATGGGGCAAATGAAACAGAGTTTACCAGTTTCTGAGACCTCAGCATATGAAGAGATAGTGTGGTCAGCACAATGCCCAGCCGCCTTTTCTTCCCCTAACGTGAGTTAAGCAGCCTTAACCATCAGTGATGGGTGGACTCGGAACGTTTAACTATTTTAACGGTCTACTGACTTCAAACCAGATTCTAACTCGATACTTACGAATAGGCAGTCTCGCTCTTTACCGCTAAAAGTGGACAATAGCCTTTAACTCTCAAATCACATATATTTCCTTGTGATGTTACTGTAATTATTTTTACTGTTATGTCAAAGTGAAATAAAACTTACAAACTACTGACAATCTGCCGCCACTGCACACTGGCAAAAAATTTTAAAACCATATGTAATCTGTGTTGGTGTCGACAGGTCAGGTACAGCTACACAAAAAATAAAATGAAATTAATTTTAAATTAAAATCGTAAACTTTGATAAAATTGAAACAAAAACAAAAAAACAACGAATAACAACTTCAAGTTTAAGATTTTAAGAAAATATAGAAATGCCTCCAGTAAGTTTTCAGTCATGTATGTAGGCATACCTAGCATTAGCAAAAGTCTTCCTAGAGATTTTTTAGTTTCTTTGATAAAACTGCATACGATTATTAAACCTAAAGCCTTGGATTTGGCTTAGGGCTTCAGTCCTCTATTGGTCCACGAATTTGGAGAAATTATTATTATATAAATAGAAATATAACGTCCATGTTTGTATAATAGAAAATGATTTAAGTCTATATCTTACGTTCTCTTGAAACTGTTAAGCAGCAGTTGCTTTTTGTGGTGGTGCGAAAGCAGGGATCGGTATTGTAATCATTATTAGGGGCGGTGCATTTTTTAAGTACAGCAGCCACACTTGCAGATTCACAGATGTTGGCTTCAGGTTCGAACACCGATGGGGCGGGCGCAGGTGTGGTGGTCGTAGTTGTAACCGAACAGTTGACGTTGCTGCTGCATTTACATTGATCGAGTGTAACACCTAATGCTGTTAAAAAAACCAAGTGTATAAATATACGTGTATTTATATAAGTGTAAGTGTACCTGTATATATAAGAGTATAATATTCATATACATGCAAATGTATATATAATATGGGAACAGGGCATTTCCCCCCTGTCATTTACCCCCCCGGATATTCCCCCCCCCCCCGACATTACCCCCCCCCCCAGAGTAATTACCCCCCCCTGTCAATTACCCCCCTATCAATTACCCCCCGCCCAGTAGGACATTACCCCCCCCCCCGGACAGGGTTAGAGTTAGGGTTAGGGTTAGGTTTAGGGCTAGGGCTAGGGTTAGGGTTAGGGTTAGGGCTAGGGCTAGGGTTAGGGTTAGGGTTAGGGTTAGAGTAAGGGTTAGGGTTAGGGTTAGGGTTAGGGTTAGGGTTAGGGTTAGGGTTAGGGTTAGGGTTAGGGTTAGGGTTAGGGTTAGGGCTAGGTCTAGGGCTAGGGCTAGGGTTAGGGTTAGGGTTAGGGTTAGGATTAGGGTTAGGGTTAGGGTTAGGGTTAGGGTTAGGGTTAGGGTTAGGGTTAGGGTTAGGGTTAGGGTTAGGGTTAGGGTTAGGGTTAGGGTTAGGGTTAGGGTTAGGGTTAGGGCTAGGGCTAGGGCTAGGGTTAGGGTTATTATTTGGGTTAGGGTTAGAGCTAGTGTTAGAGTTAGGGTTGTGTCTAGCTTTGGTTTTGGTTTTGTGTGAAGTTTTAGGCTAAGGTGGATGCTTAGGTTTTGGTCTTTTTCTTAAGGTTTGGATTAAAGTAGTATATAGGTATAAAATTCTAGTTAGAGTTAGGATTTTAACTTGAGAGGGGGGGGGGGGGTAATTCCCCGGGGGGGGGGTAATTGACAGGGGGGTAATTGACAGGGGGGTAATTGCTCCGGGGGGTAAATACGGGGGGGGGAAATGTCCGGGGGGAAAATATCCAGGGGGGTAATGTCCTGTAGCCTAAAATATAGGGCCTATATATATATATATATATATATATATATATATATATATATATATATATATATATATATATATATATATATATATATATATATATATATATATCGGAACAGGGCATTACCCCCGTCAATTACCCCCCGGACATTTACCCCCGTTTCCCCCCCCCCCCCTCCTTCGAGTAATTACCCCCCCCCCCCACCTGTCAATTAGCCCAATGTCAATTGCCCCCTGTTAATTACCCCCCGCCCAGTAGGACATTACCCCCCGGTCACAGCTTAAATTTCAGCTAGGGCTAGGTCTATGGTTAGGTTTAGGGTTAGGGTTAGCGCTAGGGTTAGAGCTGGGGTTAGGGTTAGGGCTAGGGTTAGGGATAGGGTTAGGGTTAGGATTAGGATTAGGATTAGTGTTAGGGTTATTTTATTTTAAGGTAAGGTGAATTCTTAGGTTTTTCGTGTTTGTGTTAAGGTTATGATTAATGTAATACATTGGTATAGAGTTGGAGTTAGAATCAAGATTCTATCTTGATGGATGGGTGGGGGGGGGGTGTGAGAGAGAGAGAAAGAGAGTGCGAGAGAAAGAGTGCGTTAATTCATATTGACAATAATTTATTTCCTACATAATGTCTATCTATGTCCACATGAAATAACTCACCTGTTGTGAAGCGTTGCATACAACATTCTGACCTTGACCCTGACCAGTAGCAGGCTGAAGGCTTACAGTTTGTGTAATCAGCAGATGTAGTTGAGCAGTAAACGGGCGTCCTGTAGATAGTGCCTTGGTTCAGGTCTACGTTGATCTGCTGACCACTGCTCATGTGGGGGACTGACCAGCACACAACACAGACTAAAAGCAGGAAAGATCCAGATATAGTCATGGTTCTACCAGAAATAAAGTTGTCTCAACTGTCGGTTTTGTATTTTTGATCACCGTGACTAGGAAGTCACTGTATTTATAGAGTTCAGTAATATTTTTTTTGAATGAGAGGTGTCCTAATATGATTCATATTTGTACTCATAAAAGTTACCTTTTATTTCATTTAGCAAGCTATTTTAAAAAAAAAACACCAAAAGATAGGCCTAAATTACTGTTAGCTTTATTTCTTTTTTTTTTTAGAAATTCTTATCTTTGCTTAGTTAAATGACACCTCCTGGTTTCAAATTTGTTTAAATTTTGAAACAAATTGAATTTTAAAAAATAGTTGAATTATTTCCTCAATTAAAAAATTACGATTTTTTTTAAAGTGGATATTAATATTTGTATTACATAAACATTAGTGTAACCAACCACTCCCAAAAGACAAGGCATCTAGGTACAATCTTTGGACTATTTAGACCGGATATCTCCAATGAACTCCATATTGGATTAGCTTCTTTCTTTGGATGTTTAAAATAGAAAAAATATTGAACAAATAAAATAGCGGGGAAGTGTAAAATGTATGTTATTACTTGACTTATATTGTTACTTGTGGTAGAGCGGTGTATAGATAAATGTTAGAAGCATGTTTCTTATTCTTATATTAGGAAATCGTCTTTCATATTGAATTATTTGATTAATAGTTTTAAACCATCGGCCTGTGCTTTTGTTCTTCTAAAAGCAACATTAGTTTATGTAATAAGCTCTCATTGAGATAGCTCGAGTAACTTTCTTTAAAATGATATGATTCTACTTGTTTATATTACAATCAAAATAACAATTTCGATTGTAATGAAATGTATCGTAATTCGGATGTTGGCAATGTTATTGGTGTTTGGGGGAGGGTGTTTTAAAAATGAGATATAATATAAAGCGGATAGTCATTGGAATGTTGATTAAGGTTACAAGGAATAGTTGAGGGTTGAAATAGTATAATGTGTAAAATTTATATACACTACATCAAAATAATCTTAGGCTCATAATTATACATTTTTTAAGTATTACCTTTTTTAGCAATAATATTAATTTGTTTTTATGGATCATTTTGAAATTTAAATTAAACGAAATAAAAAACAATTGAATGTGAATAACTCCCATTAGAAAAAATACCGTTTAAAATGTTTTTTACGTGAAAATGAAATTAAGTTTAAAGAAATAAATCAACAATGTAATTTTAAAATATGCATGTGCTAAGATCTGTATTACATTAATTTTATTATTAGACACATGACACATCCTTTATTGCAATAGTACGGTAAATAACACTGTTGTGGTACCATATAGGTTCTATTTTGAATGTTAGTCTGAGATCAATTGAAGGCAAATCTCGGCGTTGTGCCCTGATAGAAACATGAACATTGATAACTACACGCAGATGTATAAGATGTAAGGCATAACTATAAAAAAAAAATTGTAACCAAAAACAACGATTTTTCAAACTATTGGTGCATTTTATATAATGATACTTCAACTTTGTACTAAATGTTAGAATATTCAAGAAATTGCTAACGATGATTTACCTTTACATTTTAACTCTTTTACTTTTAATTAAGCCAGGGGTCGGCAACCTTTTGAGACCGAAGAGCCAAAAAGTTACAATTTATAAAATTTCAGTTTTTAAATAGCCACCAACATTTTCATTTCAATATTATGACCTTATAATCTTTATTTAGGACTAGCGTGCCCGTCCCGCGCGTTGCTGCGGTCTTAAAGTTTAAACAAAATTAAAGAAACACATTATGAAAGTTATGGTTCCATTAAATTTACATTTTTATTGAAAATGAAAATTATCAAACATTTTGAAAAGGAAGTACATTCAATTTACATTTTCAAAAATGTATAAATCAATTTTATATGAAAAAACGGTATAACATTCAATGTACATTTTTAATATAACATATTTATCATTCTAGTATGGAAATATGATTAACATTCACTTAACATATTAATTGAAGCGTATATAGCATTTTAATATGAACATCTGAACATTCAGTGTTTTTCATCGAAACATATTCACCACTTTTATTTACAAATATGATTAACATTCAGATTACAATTGATTTGTTTTAATGCTGAACCCATTAAATTCAATGTGTTTATTCGAGCGCCTGTGGATATACAATGTTTTTTGTTTTGTCTTCTGGTACGTATACGTATAAATCAGAAGATTTTCCCACACGTGAGCAAGCAACATATAATTGCCCATGTGAGAAACATGGGTTCTGCAAGTTTAAACCACATACTTGCAGCGATTGGCCTTGCGCTTTATTTATTGTCATGGCAAAAGCCAGGCGTACTGGAAATTGTAAGCGTTTAAAATCAAACGGCATGTCTGTTGGTATCATTGGAATACGTGGCAGCAACACATGTTCACCCTTGAATTTTCCAGTCAAAATAGTTGCTTCAATGATATTGTGCATCATTTTTTGACTCGGCCGTAGTTGCGAACATAGGTCATCGCATCCTGCGCGTACTCGTGTAAGTGCCGTGGGCTTCCTGTGAATGTAGCTGGCAAAATGACCATTTTCCCAATATCATTGGGATTGGCATCGGTAGTAATCGCGTCACGCAGATGGATGTACTCTTCTGAGCGCAGTTTGGTTTGATTCAGTCGAATAAACAGAAGCCGTTCGCTCTCAATTTTAGCGTACATGTCGACAATGTACTGATGGAACAGTTGCCGACATTTTAAAATGTGATTCTCTTGATTTTCACGAATCATCAGTCGATAAGCATAGTACTTCATAGCACTAACTTTTTTATTTATCTCCTCATTTGTTTCTGGATTTATCATTTTGATATTGAAATGATACCCATCTTCCCCTTGCCAAAATATTATGGGGTATTGTAAAGCATCATAAGACCGATGCGTTTCACAGACTCGCTGAACATTACCATTTCTGCGATGAAAAATAATATCACGCGAGTTGAATTCTTCGCCGGCTATGACAATCGCGACTTCATTTAAAGTTGGTGCATTATATTGTCTTTCATGCTGACCGACTGGTGTTTTGTCAGCTCTAATTACAACAGCATATTCATCAGCTGGCATTCTGTCAAGCGCCGTCCTGAATAGCCGAACCAGTTCGTTGTGTTGATCAAACATAGCTTGTACAGCAGCTATTATTTCTTGGTTAGTACTGGTATTGAATAGACAACGCTTTTTGACTTGCTCAGCAGGGCTTCCCATGAAGTAAATTTGGAGAAATTTGTGATCTGCATCTTCCAATGGTAAAAGTGATCCAACCCGATGATATATTTGGTCTTGCATTTTGAAGGTTGGCATGTAATTGTCACGAATGATTGCTGATGCACCGAATGACGTCATTTGGAAAGATGAATTGTACCTACGTATGTTTTCCAAGAAATGTTTCGACTGGCTTGTTTCACCTGATACCAAAGTTGATAATAGTTCGGGTGGTAAATGCAGTTCTGGTAGTTTCACTTTTCCACTTGCGCAGCACATTCCAGGCGTTTCATTCTTAAATTTTAACGCATAGCAAAATTCGCACACTTTGTCCATTTTTCCGATAGCGACACCTCGATGAAGACTGTAATCAAAATCAGGATCATAACTGAATGCAGAGAGGTTCAGATCTGCATGCAGTGTCCGTCTGTTTTGAAAATTGCGTTCTCGACTGGTTCCCAGTCTTTCTCTCCGTTGATCTCCTGTTTCATTTGAGCGGGCTTGAGCAGTACGTAATCGAACTGTTTCCAATCTTGATTCATGTTGTTGTTCTGTTTCATTTGAGCGGGTTTGAGCAGTGCCTACCCGATTGGATTCTAATCTTGATTCACGTTGCTCTTCTGTTTCATTTGAGCGGGCTTGAGCAGTACGTAATCGAACTGTTTCCAATCTTGATTCATGTTGTTGTTCTGTTTCATTTGAGCGGGTTTGAGCAGTGCCTACCCGATTGGATTCTAATCTTGATGCACGTTGCTCTTCTGTTTCATTTGAGCGGGCTTGAGCAGTACGTAATCGATCTGTTTCCAATCTTGATTCATGTTGTTGTTCTGTTTCATTTGAGCGGGTTTGAGCAGTGCCTACCCGATTGGATTCTAATCTTGATGCACGTTGCTCTTCTGTTTCATTTGAGCGGGCTTGAGCAGTACGTAATCGATCTGTTTCCAATCTTGATTCATGTTGTTGTTCTGTTTCATTTGAGCGGGTTTGAGCAGTGCCTACCCGATTGGATTCTAATCTTGATTCACGTTGCTCTTCTGTTTCATTTGAGCGGGCTTGAGCAGTACGTAATCGAACTGTTTCCAATCTTGATTCATGTTGTTGTTCTGTTTCATTTGAGCGGGTTTGAGCAGTGCCTACCCGATTGGATTCTAATCTTGATTCACGTTGCTCTTCTGTTTCATTTGAGCGGGCTTGAGCAGTACGTAATCGAACTGTTTCCAATCTTGATTCATGTTGTTGTTCTGTTTCATTTGAGCGGGTTTGAGCAGTGCCTACCCGATTGGATTCTAATCTTGATTCACGTTGCTCTTCTGTTTCATTTGAGCGGGCTTGAGCAGTACGTAATCGAACTGTTTCCAATCTTGATTCATGTTGTTGTTCTGTTTCATTTGAGCGGGTTTGAGCAGTGCCTACCCGAATGGATTCCAATCTTGATTCTCGCTGTTCGTCTGTTTCAGAAGCACGTATTGCCCTCTTTGTTCTCGCTTCTGATGTAGATCGACCAATAGATTTCCGTTTGGGAGGCATACCTGTAGCAAAATAAATAAATGGAAAAATTCATTATCCATATTAAAAAATGTGCTTATAAAAATTAATCGTGTAAGTGAATTCAACACCATCCGGAAGTGTACGGCGATTTGATGCATGGTGTACTGAGGCATAAAGGTCAAATAGACCGACAGACACATTAGAGAAATGATTTTCCTTTTCAAGATTTACAAACTAAAGAGCTTAAAAATATTCGTGTGGTGAGTTAAAAAAAAACTCGTTAAAAACTGAAAATTATGGCATTCTAGAAGGTGTTTTTATTATTAAGGTCTCCCAACCCGCGACATTTTTTTAACCGCGTATCTCGCTTTTGCCATTTGCATGTAATATATTTCATTTGTTCGTGCGTGTGACGTCTAAACTATAATGTGACTCCAATCTCGCGTGAACACCGCCGTGTCTTATGTAGCCTACTTCTTGGTTATATTAAGTTAACATTTTTAATAGTATCATCAAATTTTGCGTTGTTGTTTATAAAAAGATGTATTAGTAGGATCCCGTTTCTAAAATTTCTCTACACGAATTTGCTCGATTATTTCTACATGTCATCAAGTATCTACGAATGAAGTTGGGGGGGGGGGGGGTATATTTGCAGGAAGAAAATAGAAATGTTTTTAAGTGTTTCATTATTTACTTTCATAATTGATACAACTTTGGAAATTCAATTTCATGAATCACTTCAAAAAACCAATTGACACCGGTCGGTGCATATAAAAAAGAATGACAAAAAAAAAATAACAACAATAGAGATTTAACTTTGTATTAACTTACCTTTTTCAATTCATGAAATAATCGGCAACTCCTCAATGGCCGCTGTTTTTTTTCTTTTCAAAACGTAAAGTTCACTGTCGTGGATTTTAACATGTAAATAAAAGCAGCTTACTATATTCGTCTTTAATAATGCAAAAGCTGATTTTCCTTTGCTTTTATATACATCGAAGTGACTGATGCAACTTGTTAACTTTACTAATGGTGTATTTTTAGACGCGTGATCTGACTTTCTGATTGGTTCATGTAAACAAACATCCAGATTGCGTCATTCTCTAAAGTAAGAAAAATCAACAGGAGAGTTTCTTTAACACGTAAAAAATATTATCGGACGTGTTATTAACTTCAGAGTGAATGATGCAACTAATAGTGTATCATTAGATAATCTCAATTTCTGATTGGATCTTCTAAAAAAGAAAGATGCTAATTACATCATTCATAAGTGATAAAGTGACGAAACTTTACAGGATGGTTCCTCGATTTACAAAAAAGTTATGTTTTCAACATTCGCAAGGTGACGAAACTGTACAGAAGGATTCCCTCGCCTTACAATGTTATTTTTAGAAGTGTGACTTTATTTTTAGATTTTAGTTATCCACAGAAAGTGTGCGTGTGCATAGTGAAAAATCGCACCCTCCCATGGCGCCGCCCTTGCTAAATTAATTATTTTTTTACAGAACCCTTCCCTAGAGTGTTATAATGAACCCCCAAAGGTTCATGCCTATCGGATGAACGGTGTCACTGCTATTCACTTTTATTATTTTTATATACCGTATATAGAGAAAAATCGCACCCTACTGTGGCGCCGCCCTTGTGAAATTAAATATGATTTTTTTACAGAACCCTCCCCCAGAGTGTCCTAATCAACACCCCCAAAGTTTCATGCCTATAGGACGAATGGTGTCGCTGCAATTCACTTTTATTATTTTTATAAACCGTATATAGAGAAAAATCGGACCCTCCCGTGGCGCCGCCCTTGCGAAATTAAAAATTATTTTTTTACAGAACCCTTCCCTAGAGTGGTATAATGAACTCCCCAAAGTCTCATGGCTATAGGATGAACGATGCCAAACCAAAATCGACTTTTATTTTTATATACCGTATATAGAAAAAAAAACAAATCGCGCCCTGTGGGGGCGCCACCCCTGCGAATTTGAAATTTTTTTTTTCGCAGAAACCTCCCCAGGAATATTCTCAACAACTTCCCAAAGTTTCACGGCGATGTGATGAGAGGTGTAGTAATGCATAAAGGACACACAAACACACAAACACACAAACATACATTGCTTTTTATATATATAGATTTGGCATATATATATATATATATATATATATATATATATATATATATATATATATATATATATATATATATATATATATATATATATATATATATATATATATATATATATATATATATATATATACATCAATGTATGTGTGTGTTGTTTTTTCTTGTATGCATTACTACACCTTTTATCCGATCGGCATGAAACATTGGGAAGTTGTTGAGAATACTCCTGGAAAGGTTTCTGGGTAAAAAGGTTTTCAAATTCGCAAAAGTGGCGCCCCGGCAGCGCGCTATTCGATTCTTTCTCTATATACTGTATATAAAAATAAATGTCGATTGCCGTTAGACACCGTTCATCCGATCGTTATTAAACCTTAAGGAGTTGATTAAAACACTTCAGGGGAGGTTTGTACAAAAAAATCATTTTAAATTTCTTATAGGCGGCGCCCAGGTGGTGCATTTTTTTTTGTCAATACATCTTTTGGCGCCCAGAGTTCCAGAGCGGCTATTTTAGTATTTGGCATCCGTTAATCGGGCGTCCTGCATAGCGGGTAAAGGGTACTACTATGATCAGCGGCAAAACTGCAACAGGCACAACCACTGACGCCTCGTTTATTGCTCAACACGAAGCACCCCGGGCTCGCCTGTGAGCACCTTGGCGCCTACGTTCGTTTCTTTTTTAAAATAGGCTATACACTATAGACACGATGGACAAAAATGCGTTTATTTTAAACAGCGCGACAGGCTATGGATACAATGAATTGCTTTAGTCGCTCACTAAATCGAATCAGGTGCGTCCTCCGGTGCGATTTAGCGGTGCGAGCAATAAGCGCCTACCTTAGATTTAAGGCGCACCCTAGTATAATTAAACCGAGCTAGAGGCCGTACGCTGCGTCCCTGCGGTAGTGTTATCAGGTTCACGAGAGCGCCACTTACCGTCGGCAGAGGCGTAGCTAGGGGAGGGCGGGGAGGGCGGCCGCCCCGGGCGCCGACCCTACGGGGGGCGCCAAAAGGGGTAGAAAAAAAATTAAAAGCTCATTTTAAGCTGCAGTTTTGATTAATAAACAGTCAAAGTAAAGAAATTTAACGACTGAGAGCCTTTGCATACTGATTTAACTGCTTTCTACCTTGATTGTGTAACTATAAAACGTATATCTTTAAGAAACCGTGACCGGAAAAACCGCTTTCCAGCTTTCCTAGATGTGGGGGGGGGGGGGGGAGGCGCTTTTTCGAAGACTAAAATCGGAAAAATATCACACCGGATTAAGGAATAAATAACCGATATCACTTAGAAAAGAAACCCATTGAACTAAAGCGTATTTTACGATTGTGTAACATAAAAAAGAGTTAGTGACGTTTAAAAATCCGCTCTACCATTTTTGTCCAAGATGGTGGGGTGCCTTTTCACCAAAAAAAAAACCGCAGGATTTGTACTGGATCGGTTGCGAGATAACTCTTTTAACACTCAGAAAAGAAAACACTTAATATACGATTTCACTACCCAGTTTTGCTAAGTAATAACGCGACTAGTTCTTTGTACTATTCTTACGATTCTCTCAACTTGATCGTGAGAGATCAGATACTTTTACTTGATTGCATTACATCTTGCCTGGATCACTGCATTAAAGAGAAATAAATATCACGGATTCTTGTATCGCTATCCGATCAGTAAAATAGCAGACTGTCGGAGCGGGTGGATGGGAAGCGACACTTTTTGCCAACATTTTAAGAGAGAAGAAAATTAGTATATTGTACTGATTATTACTTTGTTCAACCTACCTGATAATTCAAAATTGCAATATTGGCCTACTATTATTGAAATTGTTCTAAAGACACGACCAAAAGTAGACCAAATAAGTTTGCACCTACTACAAAATACACTCTAAAGCAGTGCTTCTTAACTTTTTGGAGGTACCGAACCCCACCAGTTTCATATACGCATTCACCGAACCCTCCTTAATAGTTGTATCGTCCATACTGACAAAATCCAATCTTGAATCATATGAGTCGGCTGTGTGTCTTGACCTCCGCGGAAGCCCTGAGACTGAATTACCTAACCTCTCGGGTTCGATGGAGCCCACTATTCTAAGCTCTTTTGATTTTCTACTTTTTATTCGTTTCGGCATCTTATGGGGAATTTAATTGGCGTCCAGTGAAGTTTTAGGGAACGACAATAAGCGTAATTGTTAATTTTTTTTCCTGACTGTCGCACACACAAACACACACGCATATATATATATATATATATATATATATATATATATATATATATATATATATATATATATATATGGGGGGGCGCCAAACTGAAAGTTCGCCCCGGGCGCCGGGAGGGGTCGCTACGCCTCTGACCGTCGGTGAGTGATTAACGGTGATATTACGGTGAGTGATTAACTTACACTCGAGGCTTTCACACAGCACGGCATGGTGGTGGGTGGTAGTGTAGGTAAGCCCGTGTCCCGATAGATATGATCCAAACACGGGCATTGTTTACATTTAAATAACTCAGCTTTAGAAAACAAGGAAGTAGGCTACATTGAAATAGGGAGTAACTAAATATTCTAATAGAATAGCGAGTGTTTATTGTTTATATTTATTATTATATCGTTCATTACCGAGTGTTGCAGACTAATACTTTATTAATGAGTTTTAAAAATAAATTAAAATCATTATTAATAATTGTGCGTCGAGCTGAAGAGCCGCATCTACACATTAAAAAAGCCGCATGCGGCTCGCGAGCCGCAGGTTGCCGACCCCTGAATAAAGCTAATGATATAATTCCCAAGGTAAGTTAGAAATGTTATATTTTCACTTAAAGTAGATGTTTAATCGTAACATTCAGACCCGGTAAAAAAACGGACTGGTGTATTGGGCTGTGTTAAACAATACGTTAATCGGCTGTGCTTTATTTTGGCTC